TACATTTTGCTTGTAAACTGAACGACAATCGGAAAGTAGCTGATGAAGGACCATCGGACAACGACATAATCACCGCGTTCTTAGTCAAAAAGTATGACAAACATATTTGCGACTATAATCAAGATGGATACACACCTCTTCTACTTGCTGCTCACTACGGTTATGTTGAGTGTGTCAATTATTTACTTACGGTAAAAACGATAGAACAGCTGGGAAAATGCACCAAAGATCCTGAACATCGTCAGAAGAACATTCTTCACGTATGCGCCGAACAAACACAACCAGGTGACAGCGAAGATATCGAAATCTGTACTCATACTCTTGAAGACGAAAGTCAACTCTGTGTAACGATGAAGCTATCTAATGTGAACATAGAGGACGCAAAGCGCAACAATCATGCCGAGATTTGCAAGCTCATACTTCAACATAAGGACCGTGATAAATGGCTTCTCCCTGGAGGAAAATCCTTGTCAGAACAACTGCTATACGCACCTGACGACGAAGGTAATACCCCACTACATCTTGCATGTGAGCAAAGAAATCTTCTGGTTTGCAAAGCACTTGTAACAGAAATGAAGAAAGAGAAATCTGACTTTGGATACCTTGAGGTGGTAGATTTCAAGGATCGGACTCCGCTTCACGAATGTGCTCTACTCGGTGATATGGCGCTCTTACAAATTATGTTACCACTAGACATGGACGACAACGACAAGTCAAAAGCCAAGCAAATATTGGATAAAGTGCGCGACAGTGACGGCAAAACACCTTTGCATCTAGCATGTGCTGAAGGTTTGTTTTTACATCTTTTTACTTCTATGTAATTCAAGGAGCTACTTGTAAGAAAAGTTATAGATGCAATGCACGAAAGTAAAACCTATGTCTAATTATTGGTTTCAATTCGTTTAACATCAGTTTAGTAGATGAAAGATTTCTTCATTTGTAACGCCAATGAGTGAACCTAATGAAATAGAAGAAAGGGCTATTAAGTTAAGATCTACTCTTTTCAACAATTGAACTTAAAAAAATAGTTTTTTAGTGGTACCAAATTATGTTCAGACTTCTGAGAATCAATGGTAGCTCATCCATTGAAAGTGCTTTCTCTAGTAAAAAAGTATCTAATATATCTAGAAGTTTTATATAAAACTAATTATTACTACTACGATTCTAATTTCTATAATCTAAACAATTAAGGTATGCAATGGAATGTTTTCTCTTGTTCTCTAGGTAAACTTGAAATGGTTCAGCGACTTATCAAAGACTTCTACGTTTCCATTAATACTCGAGCGGACAAACGTGACACTCCCTTCTTTTCTGCTTGCGAGGGAGGCCATTTGGATGTAGTTAACTACTTACTTAAACAGCCTGGTATCGATACCACACCACGCAATTCCAAAGGGTTAAATGCTCTCGATACTGCCATTATTAATCATCAGGAGCCAGTGGTACGTCGTCTACTCGAATGCGAGAATTGGCGACGTTTAATGGAGAATGCTCATTATGGTGAAGGAGATGAGTATGATGTAGCATCGACACCCATGCGAGAATTGATCATCTTCATGCCCGACATTGCTTACGAAGTGATCGAGAACAAGTTGACGAAAGTGATCGGAGGTGAAAATCAAGCAGTTCATCAGGCGATGTATGATTACAGCTTTTTCGACGATCAATATTCCATTCGAGATTGGACATATGGTAAGTGACCCAAGAATATAAGCAGCATAGAATGAAAAATTTAGGTATTATACAGAAAATTACTTTTAACACTACACCATTGATATAGATAAGATCCGCAAATTAGATGGATAAAAATATAAACTACTGTTCTTAACATCAAGGCGTCATCTCATCATTAGCATTGTATTAATTAATACGGATTGTAATACTTTTCATTAGGAATAAAAATGGGCTCAATTCTCTAAAATTCTCTTCCCAATAACAAAACACAATTTCTAAGGTGTGGGTGTAGGTCCTTGGTGAATACAGTACATACACCCACACCCACACCCTCTACTCAAGTAATTGATGATACTTCAAAACAGTTTTTTTACGAATATGAACTTTGTACAAAGCTCCACCAGAGATGAACAAATTAGCCCATCTAGTTAGAATATGACGGGTTTATTAGTTTTTTCTTTGGTAACAAACTTGTTCTCGATGATCAGTGGTATTCTTAATTCGTAGTCGTCTATTTTTATATAACTAGTAAACTTACTCCATTATTTCTTTGTTATAGGTGAGAATCAGGACGTCAAGTGTAAAGAAAAAAGAGAGCGTCGTGCATTTGCTTGTTTTCGTCGATTCTTTGAAGGTGAAAAGTACATGAAGGATAAGAAACGTATGTACACGTCAGATTGCCACATACTTCTTCGTAACCATCCTCTTGTCATCATGGCTCAATGTCAACAATTGAAACTTATGGAGCTCGATTATTGTATTCGATTGCGCAAAGAGAAATTTCGTCGATTTAGTTTAGCCTTCTTTTCCTCCTTTTTCATTTGTTTTGCCTTATTTTTGTCTATCTATACGCTGGTAGTGCTGCGTGCTACACATCCTTTCTACTATTATAACCTTTACAATCAAAGTCTAAACAACATACAACCTATTGCATGGGACTATGGAGCTGATACGAGTATTTGTGAACGCGTCGGTGCCTATCTCGTCGCATCGAATAACCCGAATGCATTCAAAAGTCCGACTGAAACCTGGGCGTACCCATTTCTCGATACATTAATGTTTATATTTGTCGTCAAAAATACAGCACTGGTTATCGGTGCAACGCCACGAGTTTTTCGCAGAGCGGCACACTATCTTGAAGTTCTTGCGCTTATTTTGTGTTTCACATACATTAAAGACTGGTTTTCCTGGCAAGGACCACTCGCCATTCGATGTCCAGTACAATGGGAACTGGTGAGTAAAAAGTCATACAATCTCTTACTATTTAAGAGAAAATATCTCATCAAAATTTTACAAGAATTACAGTATAAAATTCCTTTGCTTTCAGTCTATATCGTGCTATATGATATAGAAATTCTATATGTAGGAATAGGAAGTTTATATCTTCAGCATTAAATGCTTCTTATATGAAGTACTGTTATACATAGATCTTTAGTAGTAAAATCACATTTCTTTGTATCTAATAACAGAATACAAGTGACACATTCAGAAAACTTTGAGCTTATAGTTTGTTTATTTTTTTAATTACTATCTGAATAAAGAGAATTTGGTGACGTAAATAAAGTAATTATTTTATTCAAAAAAAAATTTGCAAATTGAAAACTAGCTAATTGGTCTGAGGGTTTTAGTATTTTATTCTTTGTGGTTCGTTAGAAATTAAATTCAGCAACAAAAATGTTTATAATATTAGCAACTTTGTTTGTGGGGTTTAAACAGGTATGTGGTTTCTTCGTCTGTGTACTAGTATGACTTTCTTTCTATCTCATATAGTCTGGACTTTTTCGGTACCTAACTCATTTGAAATGAAGTGTAAGGCCTCTATTATGTTTCGCTACTTAATTGTATTCTATTCTACAATTGTATACACGTGAAAAGAACTAATCCAGAGTCAAGAGCAAGTTATCTGAGAAGAATCCTTGTTCCGCGGTTTGTACACGATAATAGGATAGCGGACTTGATTTGTGGAAAAAAAATTCCTGAGTGCTACACATTAATTTAGGGTTCCATTGGTCTGCTGTTTTCATGGCTCACTTTATTAACATATATGCGATACATACCATGGATGAATTTGGGTTTATATGTGGTTATGCTTCAATTGATTTTCGTCAAGTTCCTCAAAGCTCTACCCATGCTCATCACGTTAGTTTGTGGCTTTGGCTTTACTTATTATATGCTGTTACAATACCAACCAGTTTACGGAACTCCATACGAGGCGATGATGCGCACCTCACTCGCTCTTTTCGATTTAGGCTATGAAGATCGCTTGTATAATCCCGATGAAGGGGGCATTATGCTCTATCCTGTTATCTATTTTGTATTTATTCTAACGAGTATTATAATATCCATTCTCATTACAAATCTGCTCATTGGTAAGTAAAACAAAAGTTTCATTTGATACTATCTATGAAGGACATTTTTGAAAATATTCATGTTCATTCGATTTGTCTTATCTTATAGGACTGGCTGTTGGTGAGATTCCTACTTTGAAGACCCAGGCCAAGCTCTTTCGCAACATCATGCTTTATGATTTACTTTCTGACTATGAGCTGGTACATTTACAGCTGAAAAGCATTGGTCGTTTTTTTATGTGGCGTATACATTATCTCTTTAAACGTTTCTATTGTTGCTGCTGCGATCCATCCGGAGACCCACAATCTTTTTGGAGTTGTCAGGTACACGCGCTTTCCTTCAAAACTCAAGATCGTAAACCAAATTTTGCCTCTCGTACTTTTCACCGAATTATGGGATGGCTCACGGAGGAAGATATTGACAGTTATATTTCGAAAGCCAAGGAGTGGCGGAAGAAAAACTCTCCAGACACTGAGGAATAGATAGAGAGCTAAAAGTGAGTGTGTGAATGCGAAATAAATATAAAATTCGCATACAGCTTTTGTCAGCACCTACATTAACTCTGAAATCATGTGATCGTTTTCGAATATTAACTTTTTAATAAATTTTGAAAAATATCGATGTTTTTTGAAGGTGTGGGTGTTAGATTCATCTTTCGTTTATCCCATCACCCACTGGCACACGATCTCTATACATATGCAATTTTGCATCATCTAATGAAGATGTGCACTAGAATCGAAATTTGAATTGTGGTAGGCAGTTTATAAAATTCACATCCTCATACTCTCAAAATACTTTTCTTATGTCTAACCAGAACTACAGCACCAAAAGAAAATTGAGACTTTACATGCCGGTTTGTACTTTAAGAGATAAAAATAAATATTTATTAGTATTCATTGGTTTACTATGAAGCAGATTTTGCAGTAAATGCTTCAAATAATTAAGTTCAACAAAAAAAATCTGCAACAGGATTTCATTTAACAAGTAAGATGACACTTACAACAAAAATCGCAAGAATCTTGACAGGCTTGACATATAGCACCAAAACATCCAAGAATACCAATCGCAAGAATAACACCACCAGCAACAACAGCATTACGAGCATTGGTATTATTATTATCATTATTATAAAAATAACCGGCAGCACTCAGAATAATTAAACCAATAACAATAAGAATAGTAATAACAACGATAGCACAACAAAGACCATGACAATAACCGCCACCTCGAAGTCGAGAAAATTTCTTCACCTGAACTTCAGATACATTGCTTTTTGGAACAGCTTCTGTTGATTCTAAATGATAAAAGACAATATGTTGAGTTTACCTGGATCAAATACGATTCAAACGTGGATGATTTAACTAGGATTGTTCATGAATCCTGAGTTTTCAGACAGTTCTGATCGATTCTTATACTATTAAATCGTAATACCTTCACTCAGGAAACTACGAAACCTTTTTAAATTCTGTAGAGCACTTGTTTTTTTACAAGATTCAATTACATAGTTTCTTAACTCCTACGTCAAATACGAAAAATTCGAACTTGATATAAAAAGAAAGATAATTTTTAATAAAAACCAATTATAGAAAACTTTGATACGTGTGGGTGTGTATATTATATTGTCTAATCCACACTCGACCTCAAAGTTGAAGAAAAACATTTAGAATTCTTTCGGTCTTACCTTTCATTTCGACTCTGGTTTCCATGACAATAAAGCTAGAAAGATAAAAGTAGCGTTGGATGAATATATGTATTTTATAAAAGAAAAAATAAGAAACTCAGTTATATAACAAGGAATAACTATGACATAATGGATCAGATATGTATATCATAGATAAAAATAAAATAGAATACCCACATCTACACCCATCCTCAATATGCTTTACTAAAATTCAGTTGGCTATCTGATGTTACTGAAAAAAAGAAGAAATCATAGTGCTTACCTTTGAAATAACGAATTTATTCTATTTTATTTCCAACTTATTGCTTTGACTAACAAATGCTACATTAAACTGTTTATATATTCGTTCTCCTTCTCTTTTTTCTTTCCTCTCTCACTTTCATCGAACTGCAGCACTCGATGAAAAACATAATGTATATTGTCGGTAAAAACCAACTAATGCGGTAGCAACCATTTTCATGTTACGTCATCATTGATTTTATTCTACACACGACCATGATCAAACCATTTAGTTTACTTTCGCCGAAGATTCGTCTTGCTGAAAGAAGTTCGACGAAATAGAAATTCATCGGATAGATTATCGCCGAATAGATTTATCAAGAATAGCGCATACAAATTGCATATAATCGATCTTGCAGGTAACTGATACCAACTCAGATGATTGTCGACTTAGACACGTGCTTATTCGTTTACGTTCGAAAAGTGAATGCATATTACGCCTCTCACAATTATCTATTGGTGTTGTCTTACATATATTAAATACAAATAATATTCAACTGAACATCAATATAAAGTTTTTACATACAAGATCTTTGTTTTTATTCATTTATCTACTGGAATGTAAACTCTGAACCTCAAACAATGCATAACGATTAGATTGACGCCACGTATCTACGTGATAATTAAGATATAAAACGTTCTTATAGTCGCATCGTTTCTAATTACTACTCAAATAGAGTCGACTTGGTAACCATCTAAATTGGAAGTCGTTTCACTTGAAGATCAACTGTTTTGTGATAATAAACTAATTATCCAAAATACAGTTGTTGCCTATAAGGTCGATTATTTACAGTTTGTACTACTTAAATGATTTTCGTTGTAGGTTTTCTATGAATAGTACAACTCAAATGAAATGAATATTTATTATTTAGTTAATATTCTACCGAGCATATCTTCTTGCGAAGTGATAGATGTTAAACGGGATCTTGAAGAGGAAATAACTGTTCAGTTTCTTATGATTGGATCATATGTACATCTTCATCAGGATGTATTGAATTGTTCGAATACGTTGATTTTCGATGTGGGCATTGAAAAACCCCACTACACGAACATCTTGCCTGTGCGATAAACATCATTCAGATTAAGTTTAACTCCATGATAAAAATGCACGACTTTCTATCGACGGTAACTAAGTGAGATTTGCCAAAATCAATTTTAAATACAGAAACCATGGTTTCACTGCATACCGTTTTTCTTGTGGATGTGAGTGGGTGAGGGCGTCTTCTCTTTAGATCTATATGCACACGTACAACTGTCCACATTCAGATCCATATGTGATGGATTCTATCCGTCATTATCTCCCTATCTCCGTGACCGAGGTCATTCATCGAGCAACATATATATACACGGTTCATCTTTTCGTTTGCGAGCATGAATCTTTACACTTTCTCTTTTTCTTTTTCTTAATCTTCGTTCGTTCTCGCTTGTTTTTGCTCTGCTTTGATTCACTTCTTGAACAAATCGTGAACAAGATAGTTGCTCCATCATACCACATCTGCGCCACCACTCACATCTGTGAACAAGCTGATTTATACCTGAAGTTATTGTTTGCAGATAAAACCAACTCACTTTCAATCTTCCAAGTAAGTTTTTTTTCTTTTCTCTCTGAATTGCACACTAATATTTATTACGTTGCATAAATTGTTTTCTTTTTTGTCAATAATTAGACTTTCTCCTCCAACAATCTAAGCATATTATACACGATTTATATAAAAGATATCAGAGAAAAGTTTTTTCTATTACACATCTATTATTTTTATTTCAACGGCTTCGATCACGTCAAAAACATCACCTTATATTGTGACTATTAACCATATGCATTACAGGTATTTGGAAAGAAAAAGGAAACAAAAGCAAGTTTTTTCACATGGAGTTTTTTTGATAAAAGAAAAAGAACGATATGAAATGCAAAATAAATTATTTTAGTAATATTTTCTATACAAAATGTTTATAGAATAAAAAACATTGATACTGACTGTTTTTTTTAAGAAAGTAGTAATTAAATAATAAGTTATATTATCACTTAGGTTTTTTATTCAATAATGACAGCAATAAGAAGATTAATTCAAGAACGAGAAGATTTTAAACCAAATGCATCTAATTATATATTTGCAGAACCAATGAAGAATGATATATTCAATTGGCGTGCAAAAATTCGTGGTCCACCCGATACGCCGTTTGCAGGTGGTATATTCATTCTCGATATTATTTGTTCAGATGAATATCCATTTAAACCTCCGAAATATACAATGAAAACAAATATGTTTCATCCCAATATTTCTTCAACTGGTAACATATCTATTAGCATTTTGATGGAACACTGGTGTCCCACATTAACGATTGAAAAAATTTTACTTTCTATATTATCTATTCTTGATAATCCTGTCATGGATAATCCTGTCAATGATGAAGCTGCTCGATGCTTTAGAAAAAATCGTACGGAATATGATTCAATTGCTCGAGAATATACATTAAAGTATGCCAATGAATCTTCTGTTCATAATGAAAATAAGCAGGACCATCATCCAGATAGTGGCGGACCAGCGGCCCAAATATAGGTATGGCAATAAGCTCTAAAACCTTACTATGATAAAAAAGAGACTGTTTTCATTATTCAAAAGGACAACGTCTGATAATCTTTTAAATCCTGAAGTTCATTTTCATTTAATAATTCTTGACTATATACATAAATAAATATTATATTTTATTTTTTTAGGTATGACAATTGTTATCAATTGCCCTCTGATGGCCCGCCCATGACTCCATAAAAACATGGAAATCGTGCGTTTCATACTGCAATGTATTCTATCTCGACTACTGTTCTGTTCGTTTTATCTACCATGTGCAGTAACATTATTTTTTTGTGGATGAATATAATACGCATGCCTACACACTCATCCTTGTTTTTCAATTCATATAATTGTTGTAATTACTATGTATTGTATTTTTTTTGATTAAGTTTTCATTAAAAATCAGCAATAAATTTTTCTGAAGAAAATTTTAAGCACGTATAACAATAGTACTAATGACGGCAAGAGCAGACGCACTTAATATTGTGTATCGATTGAATATATACGACACACGTGATATGCATATTGTTGATCTTTGGAAATTTTCTCCAGCGCAAACGTTCGGATACATTTCTACACATTCCTCCCTGCATAAGTCAATAGTACAATTTGCCAATGGGAACTCGGACAACAAGGTTAGAACACAATCAGCTCCGCTGCAGCAAGAACATGTACACATCAACTGATCACTGTACGCCATCTTCGTATATAGAGTGACCATGAAGATTAGTGCAAATATCTTTACCATTGTTGATCTCATTTTTCTAAAATAAAAGACAATACGTAATGAAGTATTCAAATTTTCTTATTGTGTTATTTGAAATGCATCGTATTTCCCAAGTGAACTCGTCAAACTTCTCTAACACTTCTAAGCTTTAAGAGAATTGTTGTCAAGAATATATATATTTATTTCGAACACTAATCTGATGTTATTAAAGAGACTAGATACACAAAAATATTAACTAACGCAGATCAGATGAGTGTAGTGCTGTTAGGAGCATTGTCTTATATCTCAATGATGACTGATAGATAAGGTACACGATATATGGGCAAGAACTAAGAAAGAAAAAATAAAATTTGGTTGGTTGCATAGATTTAGTTGTCTAATCTTATATGCTCTTTCTCTATTTTGTTGCAACTGATAGTAGTTACTCATCGTTATATACTTTTTGTTCTGTATACATTCATTTTCTCTCTCATTATCATAGTTTCTTATCACAATCAACAAAGTTCGCTGTTGTGAGAAAAATTTCTGTTGGACTAGAGGTATATTTCATTTGAGAGTATAATCGTGGGTGTATGTTTTATTCATAACTTCATCCACACCCTTAATCATAAAATAAGCGGAAAAATTTGATATAATCTCAAAACTGTTATTATTTTCGACCATCTAAGTGATCATTTTCAAAAAAATTAATTTATTCACTTTGTTTAACGTGATATGATCAAGTTGTCTGCTTATATAAATTTTATTGAATAAAAAAAATTACTGATATCATTATATAAAATGAATATAATGACGTAAACTTCTTGTGTATATATCAACAGTAAGCAGATTGTTGCTGTTTATTGGCAAATAACATTTGTTGATTATTCATGATAATCAAGGATCCGAAAAATTTACAAAACGAAAGTAAACCTTGACATGCATATCTTTGTTTCTCTTCTACTTATCTTTATATTGAGTATCACACTAACTAATACTACTCTTTTTTTTGTGTCCTTGAAGATAAAATACATCGTTTAATTCAATTTCATAATGAATGCATAGAATTTTTATAAATATAGTTATAACTGAAATAAATATAAATAGATTGAATGAACTTTATTTATTTTAACTTTGAACGTAGTAAAACTAATTACTTTTTATAATCAATATAAAAATGAAAATAAATAAATTAGAACTAGAATTGTGGGTTCTTCCAGGAGTTATGAACAGTAGTATCTATTGGACGAGTGTGGATGTAATACATATAACAACCGTAGCGAGATCCACCCACACTCTCGAGTTGAATGAACTCATCCAACAAAATACATTGTATTACCTGATTGAAAAACAAAGAAGTGATTGCTTTTTAAATATTTGATTGTAAATATCAGTTACAACGACTTGTCTTTTAAATCATTAGTATTTGTTTCATTTTGATTATGAATTTTGAAATCTGTAATTGTTCATTTTCATTGAAAAAATATTGCTCATTCTCAAGATCTAGAGAAAAACGAAGGATAAGAGAAAAAGTGACACTCAAATAAATAGACAATTTGATGAATGAATTAAAAATACGGAAAAAAATTTGTTCTATGATGCTTTTGTGCTAGATTAAAACAGTTATCTTTTCAAATTCTTTGCTCACCTACACCCACGTTCATAGGCACATACGCGCCCTTAAAAATATATGATAATTACTCTTGAATATATGATTATTTTACCGGTATATGAATACTTTTTGAAATTTAACATTAGATTTTATTTAAGATATATAAATCTACATTTTCTAAAATTAGTGTCAGAATATAAGTTCACTAAGTGAATGATGCTAGAATAGTTCATTAATCATTGCTTTCTTTTAATCTGTAGTATACAACAGACTAGTCTATTCTTTGAGGTCGAATCAGAGGTTGTGCCATATAAAGGTTAACTAGCGTTGTCTAAAAATACAATAGAATTGAATTTAAAAAAAATATGAAATCAAAATAATATTTATACAACTTTTGTTGAATCATCACATTTCTTTGATTGATTTAAATGATATCGTTTAGTTTTAATTCGACGATATTCGTTTCGATATTTATGAAACTTTAAGAAAATAAATTCACATATTATTTCTCCTATTATCATATAACCAAGACCAGATCCTGAATTAATTAAAACAAGCAATAGACTTTTTCAGAAAAAAACATAAAAAAATGAATACATACCAATCGCGACGAATAAATGAACAATATCAAATTGTCTTCCTTTACCTCTAATTGCTATAATAAAACGAAGTCCATAGATTTTCGTCAATGTTCGATATTTTATGCCGTTCACACTGTATTTCTCAGCAAACCTATCAAAAAACAATAGAATATATAAAGAAGACATTTTTTACTTGTCTTACCGATAGTTAATACCTGGAGACCGTTCATCACTACCACTTTGTAATAAATTGAAGGTAAAAGTCGGAAAGCATTCTTTTTCTACTTCAAGAGAATCGAAATTACATTTCCACTTCTGTTGAATTTCAATAAGTCCACCCTTAATAAAAATAAAACAAAGCATCTAAGAACTTAAAACTTCAAACAGCCAAACAAATTTCAGCGTAGTTCATCATCACTATTCTAGACTTAGAAAACATTGTTATTCGGACTTATCCAAAATTCTCTCTTCTTATTAACTGAACAACATTATCTTTTGTTCTGACAATAGTGAACCAATTTTAAGTATTAGAATTAATAAAAACCGAAATCGAGTCATCCTTAGTAGAAACTTTGTACGTACTTGTTGGTAAAGTGCCATTAGATCTATGTGATAATCATGACTATAAAGATTTCGAAGAATATATCCTATAGAAAAGATAGGACAATACTGATCAGTTTCACTGTCATAACGACAGGAAAAGTCCGTATCTTTTTGAACAGTTCGTCTGGAATGGTCGTTAGAAAAAGAAAAAAATTCATACTATGAGAAAAAATTTTATATAAAATATACAAACATTTTTACATTGTAATTTGTAAAAGTGACAATTGTTTTTATGAAAACAGTAAAATTTTGCAAATCGTCAATGTTGATTTTATAATCTCTATCAAAAATAAACAGAACATAAATATTCAATAGATAAGAATAAACACATACATTTCTTTATTTTATTATTTTATTGTTATACTAGTCTAGTGAATCATTTATTTGATTGTATATTATCTATAAATGAATGCTATTGCATAACTCGATAAAGTATAATGCTATCTTTGTAGTACGAATACAACCTAAGATGATCATTTAAATGTGACATGATTTAGAAAGCTCTACAAATTTTTAAACATAAATTTCATTGATTAGTGTCTAGGTCTATGGCAGATGAGATAAGGAAACCAAAAACTTTGAATTCAATCTTACACTCAATATTTTCCATGGTCAAAGATTCTGTTCTAAATCAATTTCAAGTCAAGAATGATAGATATTAAGAAAATAATAATAAAATCTTACACCGAACTCGACCGTTCCTCTGGACACCATGCATTTATTTCACAGACATGACGCGTCTTATTTTCTTGACTACGTACACAATTTCCAGTCAGAAAGCCTACATAAAAATACATATAACATATCTTATATAAATATATAAATATCGTAAATAATAACATACCGTTTGCATTAAGTGGTCGCGTGCCTTTTTTACATGGTTTGTGTGTAGAATTACAGAATAATTTATTGCTCAAAGCCTATAATTAAGTTTTCTCTGCAATATAATGTACATATTATTGTGTAACTTACACTTGGACATGTACTTAACGTTTGATCGTAAGTAACTGTTTTTCGAGTAGCAATGAAAAAAGCATTATTTTCCTATGTATATATATGACATATAGTAATATAAAACTTGAATGAAGAAACAACATACAATAGGTGGAATGAGATATTCAGCTGTGTCCCATAAATCTTGTTTGATATTATCTGAGGAATATACAAAAAGATAGTAATCATATATGTATTCAATGAAAAGAATTTACTAGAGTTAAAACTTGAATTATCAGTTGAAACGCGTGCTACACCTTTTACTTTGATTACACTCGAACCACTTGGCATTTGAACATCTTGATAACCTTTTTTTAGCCAAACAATATAACTAGAAAAAGAAATCCTTAAAAAGTCACTACATATATCTATATATTAGAACTTACACAGCGATATACGCAAGAACAACAAATTGGAGTATACGATGGAGTATTGCAACAGATGTATTATGTACTTTGATTTTTTTGACAGTAGAATAAGTGCGAAAGTAGTGCGAAAATGATGAACCAAACGACTTGGAATCTTCGCTTGCCATTAATAAAGAAAAGCGGAACGTCCTAAGAGAAAAAAAACTATTCACAATATTGCTCACAGGTCTTTTGTTTTCAAATTGCTTCGAAATACCGAAAGGATATATAGTGCACTTCAGATTTATCAGAAAAGGATGCATCGATCTTAAACAGAGCGAGCTCTGCACACTTCGAAAGTACTGTATTATTGATTAAAAATTTAATATTTTTTAAATTGATTTGATATGATATCATAAAAAGAAATTCAATCGAGTTAAATCTGGTGATTGTGAAGCTGATAAAATTGATCCACTTATTTCTATGTGTAACTAATCGTTATTACTCACTTATGACGATGATTTTTAAAATCTTATAAAAGTTAACTCGTAGATTCAGATAAAGCAGCATTATTTATGATTTAAGACATACGTAAAACTAATATCTAATTCGAGTAATTCCAACGACGGTATGACCAAGAATATGTTTCAAAACTTCGAATAGGTGGTTTCAAGCATAAATCAATGAGCTCTGCCCAATGGTATGATTAAATTTCTCGACGGATTGGCTCAGAATATTTTTTGTTTTTTGAAACACGGATGGAATTATAATGAACCTAATTATACTGTTGGATAGAGCTCCTCGTATTATACTTGAACTACTAAGTAGGGATTTCTGGACGGACTCTTGGATGAATTAACATTGGAATTATTCGAATGCGCTATTAACTTCAACTATATCGCCGAAGAAAAGTCTTTCTCGTCCTTTTTTCTATGCTACCGTACTTTGTATCAAATTTACTGCTGAATAAAATTATAACAAAAAAGTTTGGTAGCAGTGTAATTTATATGACTACACTGTAATAAACGTCTTGACTCATATCTTTATTAGACAATAAATTTGATATAAAGTATGACAGTATAGAAAGAAAATGGAAGAAAAACAAGTGTTTGGTGATGTATGGTTTTTAAAATCGAAAAAGATATAAAGTCAGTCATTCCTCTCTTGGTAATAAGGTTGATATGTAAACTGAGAACGTCCATCTGAAGATTATTAGCCATAGTCATATATTTCAAGAGTATTTTTTTTCTCTTTAATTTCTCTTATAGAAACATATGTGAGATTATTCAAAATAACAATATCCATTGAGTACTAATGTTAAAAGATTGAATGATAATATTCAATAGTCTGTGAAAAATAAGTGATCTTGACGCTGAGATGATTTTCTATAGAGTGATTTTTCATAATTTCTTCGAGATCTTTGCCTTGAATTACTTAATATATTTATTGGCCGATCAAATCAATTAGAAGAATATACACAATAGAAACAGCGTCAGTGTCATTTTTCTATTCCTAAAATCTTGCTTATAAGTTTGTAGTTTCATGGTTAGAAATGATCGAATAAAAATCAAAAGTTTTCATATTGTTAAATTTAAAAAAAGCATTTTACTATTTATTATAGTAGTGATGAGCAATCAGATGATAGAAAAAAAAGGGTTAGGTAGGTTGTTTCCAATTGCAGCGTCTAATTACTACTCTTGATGTTGTCTGCCGTTTGTGTCTTTGGATAGTGGCCAATTGCTTCTATGAAAGGTAACTACATAGCTAAAAACTCAGCGGGTATGAGCAAGAATGTAATAAACATGATGATAGTGAATACTATTCTTTCTGTTCACGTGTAGCCCACTGCTTACTGAGAATAAGCACAGGGACTAATGTTAGTGCAGAAGTGAATCGGTGATGCAGGAATACAACAACGATTCCATGTGTACAAAAACACGGCAGGAATTACAGATGACAACATTAAATAGAGAATAGAAAGAATGAAAGAAGAAGATTGCTTGATAATAATAATGTGATAATGGAGAAAAACAGCAGTGGCGATGTACTGTTCGAAAAGAGAAAAAAAATACAATAAATTGTTTGCTTTGTTGATTACATTGATGTTATCAAGCCGATATCGTTCTTGTGTTTTTAATATGCGTGCAAGCTTTAGGATGGTTGAGGGTGAAGAATGAATCAACAAACAAGATATATAACGATACAAAACGGAGAAATAAACTAACAGCCTAACATTAGACATCTAGAGGATGGGTGTAGGTTACTTCTTTTAAAATATAGTAAGAACCTTCCCTACAGTCACATCTGTAAGATGCGCCTAGGTAAATTGGTAGGATTAAGGATGGGTGTAAAGTGACTGTTATATCTTTACCTTCACCCACATTATTTTTCAAACTTAAATTATAATCAAACAATAGAAATAGAAGATTAGTTGATTATTTAGTCATAACCGTTTCTTGCCATTACAACAGCGTCAACTCGACTTCGATACAGTTTCATGAGAGTTTCCATAAATATATCAAAGTCTTCATGGGTGCTTCGATGACTAACGATAGCTATTCGAATATGGCGCCGGTTTTGGATGCGTGATGATGATGGAAGTGCAATGCCTGACATTTGAATATCCACAACGAGTTCATCGTTGAATGATTCGAGCAATTCATGATCATCTTTGTCGAATTCTTCTGGCTCAAATCGAAAGTTTACAATATTCAATGAAACAGGATAAACAATACGAATGATATTTTTATATTTTTCTAGTAATGATACAAGGTATTGAGCTTGTTCACAGTTTTCAGCAATCTTTTGGCCTAGTTTCACCGTACCGTGTTCTTTAAGTGTAAACCAGACTTTCAGTGCACGAAATGAACGTGAAAGTTCAGGGCCTAAATGATAGAACCATCGATCGTCAAGCGAGCAACCACGTTCGGTTCTTTCTAAGCAGCCCTGATTTGTAGAAAAAGTCGAATGAAGAAGGCTACTATCACGAACAAGCACACAGCCAACATCGTATGGACAGTGCAACCATTTGTGAAAGTCGAATGCAAGTGAATCAGCTTGATCAATACCCGTGACAAGATGACTTCGTTGAGGATCGAGTATTACGAAACTGCCGAAAGCTCCATCGACGTGAAACCATAGATTTTCAGCACGAGCAATCTTGGAGAGTTCGAGAAGATCATCGAAAGCACCCGTATTTACCGTACCTATCAGATAAACGTACAGATTATGATAATACAGAAATAAACTATCCCTATAAAAATAAAGTCTTTTTAACGAACGAATTTTTACCTGCATTTCCAACTATACAAAATGGTACCAGGCCTTTGTCTCGATCATCTTTAATTGCTGTTTTCAGCTCCGCGATCTTAATAGAAAAGTTTTCATCAACTGGTACCAAATGTACGGCTTTCGAACCCAGTCCCAACAATTCCATTGCTTTTACAACACATCCATGCGATTCTGTTGATACATAAGCAACTAGTTGTTGTCCATTGACGAGCCCATCCTCTCGAACATTTACCAGTACCCGTTGACGAGCCGTTGCTATACTGATCACTGTAGCTATTGATGTACCACTAACAAGTAAACCTCCAGTACTTTCTTCTGGGAAATTAAATAGATTACGCATCCAATCGATGATAGTTCTTTCGACGAATGCAGCGCTGTGAGTACTAGCACAAGCGTTAACATTTAATGTTGCCGAAACCATATCTCCTATGATACCACCTAATGTACCTTCACCAGATACCCAACCCCAAAATCGAGGATGTGCATTACCTCTAGCATAGGGCATAACATAATTAATTACATCATGACAAACAGTTGCCAACGGTTGGCCTTGCTTAGGAATTGGTTCATCTTCAATTACTGCGCGAACATCATAAGGAACCGCTCGCCATACAGGACGATCTCGTACATATTGAATATAATCTAATGATGAATCAAGCATTTGATGTGCCATACATCGAGCCGATGCCCAATCGGTAGGATCAAGCGACGTATTTTCTTTCTCGATTGGCAATGAAGGAGATAGTTTCATGTCGCCGATTGTATTGATCAAATTGAACATCTGTATTTTCCATTGATTCAACGATTCTATATCGAGCACATGCTCATGCAATTTTGCTGATGCTTGCTCAGTCAATTCATTTAATTTTTCACTTTCCATTCGAAATGAAGTTATGCGACTGGTAGATAAAAAATAATATGCCGCTGTCACATGCTTTTTATCTTCTATTTACCACGGCTTAGTGATAAGGAATGAAAAAGAAAAAAAGAACACGAAGGTAACTATATACCATGTGTCTCTGATAAATACTGTTCTCTCACATACAGTAGTCAAATAAAGTGTGAATAGATGCAAGTATAGATTTGAATGTAATTTGACTCTAATACTCATATACTTTAAAATGAATTAATGATTTTTAACTACTTGTTTCTGTGCATTATCTCCAATTCATATAGTAAAGCTTTCATTATAGAAAATGTCTTTTTTATAAATCGAGCAGATTGATTACAATCGATATTTCTTTGATAGTATAAAACAATAATTCAAAAAAAGCTCCATACAAATGCATTGATAACATAGAGTTTTATGCTTGTGCTCCGATTCTAATGGTGAAAACGACGTTAGACAAAATAAAGAATCAAAAAACGTTTTTTTAAGTACTTGTTCTTCAAAGATTGAATAGAAGGTTTTGTTAGGATGAAAAGAAAATATATTAAATCATGTATCTCTTGTATGATGATATATCTGTTTCATATTGCATAGAATCATAATAGTTTTGAAGCACTGAGAGAAATATTAAATTTCAATTGTTAACAACATTAATCTATGGGGTTTTTATTTTTCAATTAATACCTTCAGGATTATTTGAAATTCTTTTATGTTTATAAACACATGCATCATATTTTATAGAAACGAAGTGTACTAAGATTGTTCTGTTGATTATGATCATTAAATGTTGAAAAGATAAACTATTTTATATCACAATTCGTTTTTTCTCATACTTAACGTCAATAAAAATAATAAAAATATATAAAGAAAACTAGTTTAATATAGTAGTTAAAGAGTCAGTATTTTTTTGTTCGATTAGATTTTGTTATATTTAAAATGCTTGACCACAAGATGCACAAAATTTTGCTGTTATATTTTGCCGTGGTGTTCCACACTGCGAACAAAATTTCCCATCTGCTTGATTAAAAGATGATGCTGGCCAAGTAGCTGTTTGATTGGTTGGAACGGCAGAACCTCCAATATCAATCATTAACTAAAAATAAATAAATTACAAATATCTACAGAGTATTTCTGATACTTACAAAGTGAACGGCTTTAACACGTTGGCGACCTCTATACATACCAGTATAATATCTATGAACATCTAAATGCCAACGACATGGTTTTGATGATCGTGTAGAATATTTAGTCGATTCTTCTTCAATTGCTCGTCGCATCTTACTTGTCTGTCGAAATGATAAAATCATTAATCCAAGACGAAAACAGATGAATAAAGTAAAAGCACTAATTATAATGAGAATTATCCAAGATCTCTTCATAGAAATTTTTTCATTGATAATTTCAATTGATTCTTGAAATTCATTGACTGTAATTATTCCATTTAGTTGTTGAGGATAAGTTGTATCAAATACTTTTTTACAGCATCCATCTAATTTTTTTTAAATATAAGAAAAATATATTATAATAGGAAATTTAAAAAAATATTCTATATACCTCTCATTCGCACTATTGGTACACGAATTGAGTTGGAATTTGCAGGATTAACAATCATTGGATTTATTATTTGATGAGATCAAATAAATAATGTTAAAATGAATTTCTGAAAGAATAGAAAATAATTTTAAATTTTATTCCATCGTTAAATTTTTATTCATATGTAATTAGTGTAGATAATATAACAAACAACTCGAGAAATAAGAAACCGATGTAACACATACTCATTTTTCTTCATTCTTTATACTCAACAAAAATGTATGTCACATTAAATGGTAAAAAATATGACGTAGACAACTTATGATCGTCAGCAATGCACTTTTCTTCAAAGCTGTTAATGTTTATTTTATACTTATAAAAGATTTGATAGATGAAACTTATTACATTACAAATGACGTCTGTTTTTTTTCACAGAGGATACGCATAATATATTTATTTTTCTTTTAAAATTTAATTTAATTTGAAAAATATTCAACGATTCAAAACGTGTATAGAAAAATATAATACTAATTATTTTCTTTCATCGTCCAGTCATGTATAGAGCAAGAAAAGAATTGCTCGACATTTTTTTAAACAGAATTAAAAGAAAGAAGTTAAACATTGGTGAATTGTTTTGAGAAACGTGGTTACTTAGAAACAACATCTGAGTAAACTGATACTGATGAATATAGATAGATAATTAAATGAACAATAAAATCGTTCCATTGATTTTCATGATTGCAACATGGGGTTAAAGTATTCTTTAAGTTATTTTAATTTTTTATTATGAAAGGGGTGCGATTTCCATCAAAGCCCGTATAGTCATCTCTATTCAACATATCATTTATTGATTTTCAGACCATTTTTAGGTGTGGGTGGCAGCAGTAAGAAAGACCAGAACCCAAAGCGACATCCACACCCACCCTTTTGTCGTTTCTCTTTTTTTTTAAATCAAAAAAACGGTAAAATGACTCGGATTATACATATACAGTCATTTCATTCATAATTTTCTTCATCATGGTATGTAGAAAGATTTTTATGTAAGATAGCAGACAATTGAATATATTTTTATTTGTAGGAATTATACAATCAAGTTTAAAATCGTTTACATTTCTTTTATACTGGAATCAGATGGATACTTTTTATTTATTTAATTATTACTATCATTCTTATAACAAGTTTTAAAATGTTATTGAATCAGGTGAAAACCAATTCAATCAAAAGAAGAAGAAATCCAACATTAAATAATCTTTATATAAAAAATTATATATTACAAAAAGAATGTTTTTATCGAATATGTTTTTCTATCATCATATACCTCCACCCAGGGCAAAAACAACGGCTTCGTAAACGACCTTAAACGGTAGAAAACCGGTAAAATACGACGAAAAACGGTTCCAAAACGTCGTCGTAATCCGTCGATTCAGAAGTGTATAGCAAAAAGGGGAAAAACGACGGCCGATTTCTAGTGAAATAACGGCCCGTATTCTGGGTTGATGGATTATGGTAAAATACGACTGAAAATAAGGCAGTAAAACGCTGTTTTATAGTCGTTTCCGACAACTGGAATGGTTAACATGGGTATCTGATATTTACTGGACCCGCTGTTGCAACATATAAAGCGTACAAAGGACTTTTGCCTAGTCAAATTTGATCTATTTTTATTGTATCTAATTAGAGAATTTGTACACTTGATATTTTCATTGAAATAAATTTATTTAAAGATATTCTAATAAATATATAATTTAATTTTGATCAAGTCTAATACATATGTTAGTAGAGAAAGTGACTTTCGATGAATTTTCATTGAGATAAAAACTAGAAAAAGATGCAACAACGTTTTTGAGAAGTGAAGAAAAAACAAACTGATGTCATTTTTAGAGATATTTTCTTTCTATTCTATTATCAAAAGTATTGAACGAATATATTGACTTATTATTTCCTATACCACGACTGCTTCCAGATTATTATCTGATAGGCGGAGAGAGGGTGTGGGTGAGTGCGGGTGTGGGTAAAAAAATGAATACATACCCACATCCACACTTACTCTCAAGATGAGAGCATATTCGAAGCTATATTCTATTTTACTAATCAAATATATTTTATTTTATTTAGAAAATGTTGGAATTTGTAGTCGAATAATGGATCGATTAACAGATAAACTTTCAACGATAAATTTATTCGATAGTGAATCAAATAATATTGAAATAATTCGTCTTGAACGAATAACAACAAAACTTTATTTATTAGTTTTTACAATTTGTATATATAGTATAACAATATATATACTATTTTCGGATATCACTATAGATCAATCTTTTTCAAATCCTTCTCAAAATGATTATAACAATTTATTCATATCTTATTCAAAATCACTTGATTGCCCTTGTAGCAAAATATCAATTACATATAAAGATTTTATAGAAATCAATACAACATTTCATCAAATGTGTTCAAGTGATTTTGTTAATATAAAATGGATTAATTATTTATTTCATCAAGGAGATTAGTATTATTATGAACGACGTGATATTCGTGCACGTGGTAATGCATATTTTGTATTTCTTTCAAATTTATGTGAAATTTCTCAATTAACAATTAATAATGCAATTGAACAATTTATTAATGAAACATTTATTAATACTGAATTAATATCAGAATCTGAATTTAATATTCAAATTGAAAATATTATTTTACAATTTCAAAATGGAACTTTAACAAAATTTTCTCGAAGTTTAAAACTTCTACGAGATATAATAAATGGTAATGCTTTTGTTTCTTCATATTTTTTAAATTGGTATTGGTGGAGAGACATAAATAATACTTCGCCAATAATTCCAATTAGTCCAATAATAATGAAAATGGATGTTCATGTGGAACACAAAGTGATTGTATTGATTCAGGAGGCATTTATTATGATAAAACTAATCTTCAAGTATTTGTAATGCCTGGATGGAATATTGGATGTTCAGTTGTAGAAACAGTATTGCAGTCAACATTTGAATGTTTATATAATCAAACATGTATTGATCTATTATTATATTATATCACAACTGTTCCAAATAAACAATATAGTTATGGAATGATTATATCAGCTATTAATTCTTCAATTGTAACTCGTTTTGAAACAAATACATTGATTCAAACTATAGCAGATGAATTATTTATTGAAGAATGGAAAATCAATAGTTCCTATTCATTATTTTATAGTCAATGTGCTGCGATTTATTGTTCTTATGAAACTCAAAAGGATGATTACGCCATTTATATTATATCAAAAATTTTAGGTTTATATGGAGGATTAACTGTTTCTTTACGATTTATTATTCCACTTATTACTAAAATAATATTTAATATTATTAAACGATGTCGAAATGATAGAATTATTCTCAATGAATAATTATTTATTCGATAAACTATATCAATGCTTATTTTCTTGCTTGGTATTTGTTTTTTTTCAACATTGTTTAGTCTCGAAAATTTTAATTCGTTTTGATGTTGTTATGTGCAGTTTCTTTATAAATAAATGATTATCGTGACAATAAAGAATACTAATAAAATTTAAAAATGATCTATTGATAGTTTTTATAAAATAGTTTGATTTACAGATATTGTTTAAATTGTTGTTCCATTCTTTTCTCGAATAATAATACTGTGACCTAAAAATCCTGCTGATTACAGAGATATAAATTAATTTGAGCAAATACAATCATAAAAGTTGAATAGAAATTGAACCTGTATTTTTTGAGAACCGGACAACTACTCGATTTTCTCTCCAGTAATAAATAATAACTGCATATTCAAAATATTTTACGGTTTTTAGATGGAAAGTTTCCAAGCTGACTAAAATCTTAAAATTACGAAGCGTGTGTGGGTGAATATTTGTCTTAATAATAAAATTCTTTAAATACTGAACTATTTTAGAACGATATCGAAAACTTCAAAGCACCAATCAATTCAAATTTTTCAATGTACAGATGGATGGACGTGGATGTATCATACGTATCCTATCCACACCCTCAAGATTACTACATCAGCAGCAACAACAACCAGTTAAAACTATTCAGATCGATTCTCAATAAATTTAAACATCCATCAAAATTTATTTATAGTAATAAGTCAAGCGACAATGTTATCTTCACAAAGACAACCATTATGATGACTATTATGATGACTGATAAGAATACGAAGACCATGATGAATAAGACCATGACGGTGACTAAGATGACTACTAAGAGTACTACGACTATTATGACGACACGTTGCACCATCACGACGCTCGAAGTAATCATAAATGCGATCATTGTCCCAACGATTCATATCTTTCATTGTCCAATTCTTCAAGTTGCGGATCCATCTCCAAGCTCTTGCATCGCCAGTAAAATACCAGTCACGGCATTGACCGCACTTGCTGCAAGGACGACCTTTACAATTAAGCTCCTCATAGGTACCAGGTGTAGCAAATTGTTGATCTTCTATATGAAAAATACTTTGAAATTAAACTTGACAGTTTTCTTTCTGTAAAACATCTTTAATAGTAATTATTGGTATATGCAGAAAGCGAAGTGAATATTTCTAGATCTGTTACACAGACTCATCGATGTCAAACTTGAAAATCTACAGATATCAAACGTCAAATATTTGTAAGTTTGAAAATTATAAAAATTTCCCTTTTCTCTATGAGGATATAATCATATGATCTGACCCATATATGAAAATGATAGCAGGGCCTTCGCATTACGAAAGCCCGGGAAACTTTTCGTTACGAATCGTTACACCCCCTTAGGAAATGCTGAGAATAACAATAGGATGGAATTGCAATAGAGTTCTTCTATGAATATCTTTCTATATGTTAGATCTTATCAACGACCGGTGGATATCCCATGATATAATACAATAGATAACGTCACACATTCTCAATAATCGATACAAGTGTCGGTTTTAATATCAAAGATTGCATTTTTTGATATCTATTGGTAGGCATAGTTCCCACAGAAATCAAATACCATCAATAGTCGTCTTACATTAAAGACAGAAAATTTTTCAGCTTCCCTCTGAATCTTTCAAACTGTTAATTAAGAGTGTTATAGCTTTAATCAGACTTGATATGATTTTATTAACATTCTCAAACCTATTGTTTTCTAGGTGAGACAATTTGTATAGCTAACTATTATTTAAAATAGATACAACTAATATCACAATATAATCTCTCATGAAACTTTGTGAAGAATCTATTAAAAACTAGATATATCTAATAAAAATAATGACAAAATGACGTGCTTGATAACACTTTCAAAATAATTAACTTGGATTTAATGATCGGTTTATATTAAATTTTTCTAACTGATAATTACTGTCGTAGAAAACGAACGACTAAAAACGCAATGACTATTTTCTGTGAACAAAAGCATTCCCAGTAGAATTTATTTTAACTGAAAATGATATAGAGTAATACGAAAACTTTTATATTATCTTCGTTATTCATCCTTGCATTCTACTAACAAGATATTCAACTAAATATTTGATCCGTTGCAGTGAGAACTGCGGTGAAGATCTGCGATCAAATTTTATTATGAATATAATTCAATCAGAACATACCTTGTATTTTATTAAGCTTTGGTATGTCATTTGTTGAATTTGGTAAATCTTCGGTAATATAACTAGCATCATTATTGTTGTAGCTAGAGTCCGATGGAACTGGAACATTCATTGTTTGTGGTATATCTTTCTCTTCAAAACCTATGAACAAGAATGATACATAGAGAAAAATAATAAAGTTTTTCGGGTGTGATTATGAAAGATAAACACAACACCCACGCCCACACCCTAGTTCTTCTCTTACTTGGTGTTGGTTTAACCTCAACAGACTGATTTGTAACTGGTTGTAAAAGAGTAATTGAAGGCTTCGTTTCTTTTAATTGAATCATATGAAGACCTGGTGCTGGTTGAAGACAAGATACGACAATAAATTGTCGAGCAGCTAGAAGAAGAACTTCTTTTTCCGATTGAAAATATGAATGACGACTGATATCTTTGCCACTATCACATTCGATAGTAAACATTGTTCTTTCGCCAGTTTTACCTAAAAATTCTTCGTTTTCCAGTACTTCTATAGTTGTTGTACATGAAGAAAATCCCCACCAGACAAATTCTTTTCCTTTAGTATATTGATTATATAAATCCGAATTCACTCCACGAAACACATAGCATCGCATAGATGGTAATTTTTCGAGTGCTGTAAGAATAAGTTTCAAATACAAGAACCATGGTTTTAATTTTCTTCTGTCTTCACTGCGCAGAGCTGCATTGAGCGCAAAATACAAACATTCTTCATGTGGTTCCCATTCCATTGAGTAAAGCATAATTGAAGCTGATTCATCCCGTGTTAAATCATCGGCAGGTACGGATTCACATCGTTTTTTCGCAACATAAGCATAATCTTGAATTTGAGGTAAAACTGAAACAAGTGGAGCAACAGCCTCCTCCAAGGATACCGTTGGCATTTTTTCATACCCTCGAATTGGCAGGAGCATTTTTTGCGGTTCTTCAACCATATCCGATACTCGTTTAAACTGTTGTGCTTCGGCATTTCTCTCCGTAGCCATGTTTATATAAAAGAATATTTTCAAATAACAAGTACAATAAATATTCTACAAATAGAATAAAAATGATTCATAAGTCGGACTCTGATAATAAACATGTGTATGAATTAGTCGACTGCATTTTTTATAATATTTTCAATAATCAGTGAAATATTATATAGAATTAAATTTTTATTATTACAAATCTCGAAAACATGATTTATAGACAATGCATTCCTATGCTATCGCATTTTGTTAATAAAATTAATCTTATATTTATAATCCACCTAACTTAGTATCAGTTAGATTAAAATCACTTGCTCAACATTATATCTGAACTAAAGTAGATGCTATAAACGTGAAATTCTCAGGTCACTATCATGCGTCTAAACAAGGATAAACAATAGCTCTTCGTCTTTCCGAGAATTTTCTGTAGCAATTCATTGAACACAAAGATATTTTTTTGTTCGAGAGCCCGTTTTTTTATATTGTTACATGACATACGAAGAAAATTAAAAAGATTAAGGTCTCAAAAAAACTGCTAGAGAACACGAAAAAGTGGATATATATTTATTCGCCTATAGTTTAAAAAATGGTTGATAAAGTTAAATAACCTTGTGGACTCGATGAACGACATAGATTGTCACTGCTTTTTTAACGAATATAGAAAGTCTAGAAGCTTCTTTTGCCACGCTTACACGTAAGAAAATTTCTAATAAACACGTCACGTACCTTTTCTTCGTTTGTTTGTGTAGTTTTTTTTGAAATATATAAAGGCATAGGCGGTGTCCATTGATTATATACCTATTGTCGATTTATACACGCACATTTCTTTTTTTATTATCATTCTCCACGTTTGTTTTTTCTTCCTTTCCTTTATACACTCACGGATAAATACTCAAGCCATTGCATCTTATCGTCACGTTGGATGATACTATTTCTAAAAACTAAGTACCTACGTAAATTTAACGTGAATGTAAAATTTTTCTTCTTTAAATATGTTGCACAAAATAATGCCAACAATTGATTATAACAAAACGCTACAAGAGAAAGTCTTTGTCATAGCTATACTTTGTAATTTATACAAGGAGTCGCAAAAGCCATGATGATGGAAGAAATTCATTTTTCTCGCTCATTACCAAAGCTATACTAACATCTTATTTTATTTTATAGAGGAGAATAGTAAGTTATTTTTCACATTCGTACAGCTTATAAATACTGTTCAAAATTATTACCCCTAATATCAATACGAAAATCTAGACTTTTTATACTTAAATTGATCTCTCGAATTATTGCTTTGTCGACATTTATTTGGAGATTTCTCCACAGAAAGAAGTCTAATGAAGTGAATTAAGAGCTCATGCTATTAGCATATATCTTCCAATTCATCTGTTGTTGAAAACATCAGTAAGACAAGTACCGGTGTTTGTGTGACTTAAAAAGGATACTCACATTCTCCAACCCTGTAATTACAAAAAATGAGCTTTCCTGTTAGTTATATTCATAGAAAAAAACATCTGTTTCCCTTCAGTCTTATGGTATTATCTAAATTATTTTTATTTTTGAATTTTTGAATAATGAGCGAACAATAATTTATGTCAAAATAATAAGGATTTTATTTAAAAGAGAAAAAACAATACTGATAGATAATCCATGTATATAATAATCGTTCGAACTCTACTCATATTATGTATTCTTCGAATAACAAATATTAATCTTTATCACAATATCTATCCAATAAAATTTTGAAAATAAATATGAATGAAAATGTTGATATAAAATATCTAAAAAGACTATGGTCTACAAGATGAATGACAAATTAGATTATTTATATTTTTAATGAACTTTATTCGTTGTCAATGGAAATATTTTAAAAGTGGCAAAAAAGAATTATTTATCAAAATTGATTTTATCATCAAAAACTGTTTCAGTCAATATCAATAACAAATTTTTGTATTCGATTGTTGTTTGTATCGACAACATAAAGATTACCTTCTCGATCAAATGATAGATCTCTAGGATAACTGAGCTGTGTGGGTCTGTTTCCCAATTGACTTTCACCAACGACTGGAACACCTTCTATTGCACCTGGAGACCAACGTGTTATTTGATGACTTCCATCTTTCGACACATAAATATTACCCATATGATCAACAATCACACCCTCCGGTCCACATAAAGAATTTGGATTTTCTCCAACAACCTGTTCTGGAGCAACAAGAGTACCTTCAGTTGCAGTTTTCATCCATTTCATCACACGATTATTCCTATAATCCGCTATATAGACTGAATGGTATTCATCGACAAAGATAAAGTAAGGTCGATTAAGTTGATTAAAATGGTTTTCTTCATTATTTCCACCTGCTACAGCTATACCTTCTGTATCTCCTTCTTGCCAACGGCTGACTTGATGGTCTACCCAGTCGGAGACATAAAGATCTCCATTATTATCCATTGCTAAACCGAAGCAAACAATATTATGTATCAATATTTCTTGATCCTGACTATTTTGAAGAGACCATCGCAACACTCGTACGTTGTGTTGATCACAAATGATGAGATATTTCTTCCGTTTATCAAGAATTACATCAAGTGAATAATACAATTGATCTGTTGCACTTCCAGGTCCATTTCCACCTACAACAATTTCACCAACATCTACACCAAATTCCCATCTAACAATACGATGATTTTCGCGGTCAGCAACATAAATACTATGATTATCATCATCAACATAAATGCCACTAGGATCATTCAATTGATTTAATTCACTTCCACGCCCATGTCCTCCAGCAATAGTAGATGCATTCTGTTTCCATTTCATATTGTTATTGGTGGCAACAGAAGTAAATAATTGTTCTAAAAAACATTTAAAAACTATTTCAATTTATTTTATTCAACATAAAGTTTCAATATTACTACATATAGATTACCAGAGTGGTGACATGATTGAACTAGAAATTCGATACTACATTGTCATTTATCTTTCAGTAAGCCTTTCAATATTATTATTCTATAGAAGTACGATGTATGACGATTGATTATCGAAGATTGAACTATTTTATGTCATTATGCAAATAAAATATCTAACGAGGAAACATATAAAGGTGCTTAAGGTCTTCATACCTCAGCTTGTGGTGATTGGTAAATATCTATGAGATATGAGAAACTTGAACAGGATTGGTGTCGTCGCGCCTTTATTCCCGAGATATTTATGGACAGAGAGCACGATGCGATGAATGATGATTTGTTGAAAAACAGTAGACTATTGAGGAATGAAACTTTACTTAATCACGTGCACTCTTTGTACGATCTGTTTTGAGTTAAGAATTAGATCGGATATTAGCAATAACCTTTCTACTTATTGTTGATCTGTCTAAGGAGCACTCAAAGGTGGTTGAAACATATTGCAGCATCAAATGAAAAACGCACAATCGACTTTGAAACAATTTATAAATAAATGATTTGTTTCAGTAATAGAACTATACCTTTCATTGTGGTTTTAATCGTCTCTGAAATGATTTTTTTTGTTGTCAATGGTTCGGTCGTTATTATTGTTAATTCAACGGTCAATCCTTCTGTTACCGATGTAGTTTTATCCTCTGTTTTTTTCTTAATAATAACTACTATTATACCAGTCATGATTAACATAAAAATAAGAATAGAAACATCGATTCGTATTAATTTTCTTCTGCAAAAATGTTCAGATCTAGAAGAAAAGCTCCTTTTTTATCATCTAGTGCAATTGATCATATACATACAATGCCGATGGTTGTGTTGGATCAGCATTAGCTGCAGGCACATCCTGAAATAACCAAGAAAAAAAGAAAATTATGGTGTGATATTTTTCTTAATCTAAATAGATTACATCGCAAACATCCACTCTGTTTCTTGACATAGTTAAGATTTCACCAAAATCTCAATACTTCCACAAACTAAAATCTACAAAAAACAATTTTGTTATTTACAAATTTTCACTGAATAGGAATCGAATTGGCAAAATGATAACCTATTTATTTAAATATTCTTTCGATATCAGTTTTCTTACTGTGAAGCTCTACTGCGACTAACGTATGGCTCTTCTCAGTAACCAATCTGGTCAACCAAAACAAACCTATATAGAAATAAAATTTAGATTTATTACCATTGTAAATGTGAAAATATTAGAAAGTTATCTTCTCTCAAATAATCTGTTTACTGAGAAATATTCGCAAAAGAAGAAAAAACATATTGATTAAAAGGATTAACTAGCTCACTCATTTACGATTAATTTTGTGAAAAGTATCGTCAGATGTGAGTTGTTATTACCTATAAATATAATATTTTTCTAATTCGGATGTTGAAGCAAATAACTGCAGAAACAACATTTTATGCGTTGATTACTTAATCAAATATCAAAATTAGCGCTTTTCAAAGGAAATACAATGTATTCTGGAAGAAAACCTGTTAGGATAAAATATTTGTTTGTGCAAGATTTATTAAATATGTATGAGATGAGTACGTGTGATGAACTGAGATTCAACGAATTACAGTGAGGAGCAAAAAAAAGAAGCAATCTTGTAAGTAGATGATGTATATTGTTAATATGTTCTGCTACTGCAGTATTCTCTGAACATTAGTTTCATGATTAACAGGAGTCACAGCAAAACTTCATACATTTCTAAATCCATTTAATATAGTAAAAATAAATATCTCTTATAAATTTTTTTCTTTCTGGAAATCATGCATTTCCTTGAAAAAACACTGATTTTAAATATATTTTTACTAAAATAATCCTTTTATGTTAGTTAGGACATTGTGCTTATACATTCTATTTCAATGTTGTCTTTTTGTTGCAAATATTTTGCATTGAAGTAACAACGTATGCGATTGAATTGTTTTTCGTATGAGGATCACCTATTGAATGCTTCTATTGCCACCCAAGTGAAGAAAGCTGTCTTAATGAATCATTTTTTTTCAATTCATTCGAGACGCAAAGGAATCTAGAGGTTTTCTCCTTTTTTATTTTCATTCTTCAATTCAGTTTTAAAGTTGAGCGATGTTACTTTTATTAAAATACCTTGTTTTTGGAGAAAAAATGGGCGTGGGATGTAAGCATTATGTCATCACCTTCATTCAGACCCACATATTTTTACTAAGACGAAAAAATAACTAATTGTTGATAGAATAACAAAAATTCTTATTCTTAACATGTAAATCAGTAACGTCTATATGTTGAAATATTTCCTTTTCTTCTTCGATTATCATACATTAATTGGTTATCATGTTTAACTAAAATATTTCTATGTAACATGTACATAACAAGAAAAAAAAGGAAAAAGTGTGAAATAGTCTAAACGATTAATTATAATGAGCGAACAGAACGTGAATAGACCAAAACAAATGCTGTTATTGCATACAAACACCAATCATATATTTCAGTTGAATTATTTGAACTGTAATCGACCTTTTCTACTCTCTCTCTCTCTCTCTTTGTGGCATCGCCAACCAATAAAATAGATTGAAAAATACATAGCAGGGTAATAATGAGTATAAAAGGACATCGCCGTATGTACATTACATTCATTCTACAAATATTAAACTAATAACGTAAATTCTAAGGTAAGTTAATAAATTGTTTTGAAAAACTAGGCGTACTGGATGAATATTTATAGAAAAATCTTTAATTTTAGGAATATCTGACATGAATTCAAATACCATATTCTTTCTTGCATTCACATGCTTACTTCTACTCAGTTCACAATCATACGGTATGAATATGGTATCAAATGATTGGGAAAATGAGAATGTTACAGACCATTATCTTGAAAAACGACATGAACGGGGTGGATGTGTTAAATGTGCCTATCACGTTTTCGATTGTTGTGAACCTGATATTTGTGTAAAACATCGTATTCGTCGAAACCATTGTAAACGAATTAAAAGACCACATTAGTATGCGTTCAATGATTATTTCATCTCATTTGTACAAGCAAATACAATGTTCTTTTTTCTTGTAATTCTCGTACAACTATATTAATCTAGCGAAATAAATATATATCAATAAAAAGTTGTCTTAATTGAGAGAATCGATGTACTTGCTCGGATACTCGTGCAATCTTGTCAGACGAATCTTTTTTTTGTCTAATGTCTATAGAACTTGGTATAGATATTAAAAGTTGTAGAAATATTAGGGTGTGGCTGTAGTTATTACATGCATCACACACACACACACTTTAAAAATGATTTTTATCGTTTATTAATCAGATCCATCTAGATTATAATGTTTTTCAAGCAAAACTAAAGTCGATAAAAAGATAACATTGTTCATTTTTCTTTGAAATATTCTTCAATTGCTTTCGAATCTCGTTTCAGTACTCTCGATCGCATATGTATAGTTTCAACAACTTGTTTTACTGCACGTGTTACAGTTGATATATTAGCAGAATCAAAAAATGATTGAATTTGAGATGCTATTTTTTCATCAACAAAATTCGATAAGCAAGACTATAAATACACAAGGGTATGTTTAACTTGATGAAAGAAATCAATAAGATTTATATTTACTTCAACAAAAACAATAAGAAAGCGACTATTTTCACTAAAACGTTCTACAAGTTTTATCCAATTCTTTTGTAAAAATCTCCAAACTATATCTCGACCAACTCGAGATGATGCACAACCACCAAAACCTATATATGCATCTTGCATTCGAACATTATCCTGTGAATACATTAGACACGAATAACTTCAAGTATAAAATGAATTAAACATACGTCTTCAAATACAAATTGTAAAGTTTTTTCAATGCTAGCCGGATTCAATGATTGTGGGTGTTGTGTCTTCCACACCCAACCTCACCCACACTCACAACTGCACTAGTCACCAAATATCCACACTCAAGATAATAGGAACTAGAATTACACGACAAAAGGTTAAAAATTGCAATCATACTATAAAATTATGACTCACTCATATATAGTCAACAATATTTGCGAAATATTTTATAATAATTTTGTAGAATTAATTACTAAAAAATATCGTTTAATTAGACTCTACCATCTTCTTATCAGTTCTAAGCAAAAGATCGAAAATATTTTGTAATACATTATATACCAAATGCTATCTTATGTTTGGGTTTTTCCCTTTTTCATCGATGACTCACCATTGTAATATTATCTGAATTTTTCTCTACTGTCTTCTCGAAACATCACTAGCTGAATCATCATCATACGACAAGTAGTATAAAAGCAACACATTTTCTCACTTTATTTTATTCATTTACACTAAACACATCACTATTTATTTTTTTCATCTGCTTGTTATTAAATAACAATCATGCAAATCTTTGTTAAAACTCTTACTGGAAAAACTATTACTCTCGAAGTTGAAGGAAGTGACACCGTCGAAAATGTTAAAGCAAAAATTCAAGATAAAGAAGGAATCCCACCTGATCAACAACGTCTCATTTTTGCTGGTAAACAACTCGAAGACGGTCGTACATTAAGCGATTACAATATTCAAAAAGAAAGTACACTCCATCTCGTTCTTCGACTTCGAGGTGGTAATGATCAATAAAGGCTTTGAATATCTTGCTATTTTATATTGAAATTAATTCAGATGTTGAAATTTATGTATTATTTCATGTTTTTTCTCGTTTGTTTTCTGTTCTGAATAAGTAAACAAATAAAAAATATAGTGAATGTTTCTATTTCAGTTTTGCAATTATTAATGAATGCAAGAATAGGTATGCGTCAGAGTATAATTTATGAGGGTGTGGGTGTCTGTATCTTCGATTTAATTTTACACTCACCCTCAATTCTACTGTGCATATAAATAGATGAGTGTAAGTCGTTTTTTGTTGGAAAGAATGAAACTCGACGAGATAAGCGTTATCGCTATTGTTGATAATTGTGTCGTATATAATACTTGTCATACCATACACTGTTTTACTCATATACCTCATCAGGTAGGATTACATAAAAGACATTTTTCTTATAGTAGAATACTGAAGCATCTTTTAGAAAATTCGCTTATTCTATTGAACATGGCAAAGATTGATGTTAGTGTTGACGGTCTTGATGAACTCGTCGATCGAACAATTACTCGTATCATCGATGAAATTGATCCTACTCTCTCTAAATTTCACAACATTTCTCTTCAACTTCTATCCACGATGGAGACGCGTATCAAAACAAATATTTCTGAAACACTTTATTATTTAGAGACTAACTTATTTTTTCTACTGTTTGCTATAATCATTTTTATTATTCTATTACTTATTATGTTTTGGCTGCTTGAGAGTGTTATGAAAAACTTTGATTTTACATTAGCAACCAGAAAATTCACAGGACTTGCAGTATCTACTTTCATTTTTATCTGGTTGTTTATTGCAACAATTCTTTCAACATTTCCACCTATACAGCCAGTCGATCTTCAAACTCTAAAACACATATTATTCGGTGTATTGTGTGCGGCAACCGTAGTGATGTTGTTTATCTGGATACGTTGGATATGTGTGCAGCGAAAACGCATTAAAATGTTTTTTATTAACGAACTTTTTGACTTTCAAGCAAAGAAAAATGAAGAACTATCGTCATCCACAATAAGCAATGTTGTAGATGTCATTCCATTAAATCCTAGATCAACGAATCGTAATAACAGTGCATTCTAAATAATGATTGTTATAACTGTGTGTTTACTTTTTTTAAATACATTCTTCATCGTGAATTCTTTTCTATTGGAAGAGTAACGGATTTTTAGACGATCTTTGTAAAAATTTGATTTTTCTAATGCGTTTTCAAATATTATTGAATAACTACTGATAAATTGAAATTGAACAAATAATGAAGGAATAACCACCGTAAAGGTGTAGGATGTGAGCGGCTGTCTATTTTAATAAGAAACAGATTGTCATCATTATTCACAGCCTTGCATGAATATTTAAGAAAAGTTAGATTTTTTTATATAATGATTTTTATTTCCACTTCACCTTCTTTTCTTTCGTTGAAACACAAAGCAATAAAAGAAAGCGGTATACACCTTCATAAGAAAATGGCTTGTAAACGCGTTACTGCAGAACACAATATAGACTCAAATGAAACAAAGTATACGTGTAATGAAATAAAACTTCTGTTTAACGCTAAACCTTTTAATTTTCTCCGTCTCTTTCTACATAAATAGAATATTCATAAGTACCATTAGTCAAATAAATATTGCCGTCGCTGCAGTGAAATATATATTCTGGTAATTCGTTCCACACATTCTCTTTTAATATGAAATAAGAACCGTTCTAAAGATTAATCTGTTTGTTTAATAACTATGTTTCAGTTTAAAACAGAATAAAACGGCAATTGTCCCCTTCAGTTCGACTTTTTCTCATAAATATATTTCTAAGCTTGTATTTGTGTCTGCGAGTTTTTGTAGGTATTCTTTCCACTTGTCTCCGATTTCGTTGTTTTGAAGGGAGAGTTCTGTGAGCGTCTATATGAAACAAGAAAGAAGACGATACGAAAAGTGCCTAAAGTGGTGTTTTCTCTTACTGTGTTTTTTTCTAAGCCTTCGACAAGAGCTTGTGCACCTTTGTCTCCGATTTGATTGTTGGAGAGGGAGAGTTCTGCGAGTATCTATATGAAATAAGAAAGATGACGATGAGAGAAGTGCAGAGATTGATTTTTTTCTCGTACTGTGTTCATTTGTAAGGCTGTACCAAGAGCTTCTGCACCTTTGTCTCCTATTTGATTGTAGTGGATGTGAAGTTGTGTGAGTGTCTGTATGAGATAAGAAAGTGGAAAATGAGAGAAGTACAGAGAGTGATATTTTCTCTTACAGTATTTTTTTCTAAGGCGTTACCAAGAGCTTGTGCACCTTCGTCTCCGATTTGATTTCGATAGAGCCAGAGTACTGCAAGTTTCTATATCAAATACGAAAGAAGAAGATGAGACATGTGTAGAAAGTTTTATTTTCTCTCACTGCGTTCTTTTGTAGTGCTTCACCAAGAGCTTGTGCACCTTTGTCTCCGATTGCATTATACTGGAGGTGAAGTTCTGTGAGAGTCTGTATAAAATAAAAAACATGAAGATGAGACAAATGCAGAAAGTTGTTTTTTCTCTTACTGTGTTCTTTTGTAATGCTTCACCAAGAGCTTGTACACCTTCGTCTCCGATTTGATTTTCGGTGAGCCACAGTTGTGTGAGTGTCTGTATGAAGTAAAAAAGAGAAAGATAAAAGAAGTGTAGAGAATGTTTTTTTGTCCCACTGCGTTTCTCTGCAAGGCTTCACTAAGAGCTTGTACGCCTTTGTCTCCGATTTGACAGCAGTGAAGATGGAGTTGTGTAAGTGTCTGTATAAAATAAGAAATATGAAGATAGTATAAGTGTCGAGAGTTGTGTTTTGTCTTACTGTGTTCATTTTTAAGGCTTCACCAAGAGCTTGTGAACCTTTCTCGCCAATTGGATTGTTGTCGAGGGAGAGTTCTGCGAGCTTCTGTGCAAAATAAGAAAGATAAAGATAGGAGAAATACAGAGAGTTGTGTTTTCTCTCACCGTGTTCTTTTGTAGAGCTTCACCGAGAGCTTGTGCACCTTTCTCTCCGATTTGACAGTTGCCGAGCGACAATATTGTGAGTGTCTATACGAAATAAGAAAGATGAAAGTGAGAGAAGTGTAGAGAGTGGTGTTTTCTCTCACTGTGTTCTTTTGTAAGGCTTCACCAAGAGCTTGTGCACCTTTATCTCCAATTTGATTGTTGAAGAGGAGGAGTTGTGTGAGTGTCTGTATGAAATAAGAAAGATGAAGGTGAGACAAGTGGAGAAAGTTGTATTCTTTCTAACTGTATTCTTTTGTAAGACTTCACCAAGAACTTGTGCACCTTTCTCGCCGATCTGATTCGTGGGCAGGGAGAGTTGATTGAGTGTCTGTATGAAATAAGAAAGATATCGATGTGAAAAGTGCAGAGAATGATTTTTTCTCTTACTGTATTTTTTTGTAAGGCTTCACCAAGAACTTGTGCACCTTCGTCTCCGATTTGGTTGTTGTCAAGGGAGAGTTGTGTCAGTGTCTATATAAAATAAGAAAGATAAAAATGAGTTAAATACAACGAGTGATGATTTCTCTCACTGCATTCTTCTGTAAGGCTTCTCCAAGAGCTTGTGCACCTTTCTCTCGAATCTGATTGTTGTCGAGAGAGAGTTGTGTAAGTGTCTGTATAAAATAAGAAACATTAAGATGAGAGAAGTGCATAGAGTGATATTTTCGCTCACTGTATTCTTTCCCCCTCGAGACAGAGAACAATAGTTCATGCTTTTTTATACTAGTGAAAATTTTTGTTCAGTGTAAATGATCTCAACGAAAGGTGTTATAGGATTGGAGAAGAATTTTTTTTATGAACTACATATTTAACGATTATTATAATATTTACTTTATTCTTTAGAGTCTTTTTATAAAACTCAACATCTGAGATTTCATAGGGAACCATTTCAGTATCAATTTTGTCAGATTGATGGATTTTTTTACATTTACGATTTCTATGTTTATCCATATGGCATCTCTTGATAACTGAGACGCTCACACGTTGAGAAAATGATCTGATCAAATTAAACAACTTTTCAGTAATGATTAATGTATTTCTTGTTCATTAGTTCTTCGGATGTTCTTCAACTTTGGAAAGTCTTCAAGAACTGTTTGTTTTCGACAACTATTTACTGTCGAAGTACGAAGAGAAGAAGACTAATTCCTATAAATTCAATACAAAAGAAAATCTTAATGAAACTATATCAGATATAGAGAGCATGAAGAAAGAATTGTTTTGTATTATGATATATGACCTAATCTAAAGTTTTTCAAGAACATAATAAACAATATCTCTTAGTAATCGATTAAACTTTTCATCTAATTTAAAAAGATCTTTAAGGCATCAAATCTGTATTTTTGAACGAAAGATAGCATGAGCATCGCTATGATTTTCAGTCAACTCTTTTTCCGATGTATGAAGTACTGTACTTCTATCGAATTAAGATTCTAAGTTCGATTCTCATGATATTTCATGAATCTCAGTCAGTTTATATTTCTGCATTTCGATATAAAGATATTCGAATGATCGATTATCAGGAGTTTATCAAGAAGAAACAAGAACCACAGTGATGTACAAGCAGAAAAATACATCATACTACGTATCAAAATAAATTTGTCGATTATTTACCGTATTATTTTGTAAAAGATAATAAGCCACGATAGTCATATCATCGTCCGTCAAATCTTCACCAGTAAAGTCGACACTGGATTTTTCTTTTTGCTCATTAATCATTTGTTCAAGTTTTTCATTTTTATGTGTCGGTGGTTCTGAGAAAGCAGTCATTGTTGTCTTTGATTCTAAATACATAAATGCGAAAAATACAATTCAATAATAGAACTGTATGAATTAATAGAAATTTTAAGTTTCGTTAGTAGATTGAATCATTTCTTCAAGTGCGTTTTGAAAACTCAAAGCACTTCCAAAGCATGATGTGGAGTGTGAGGATGTAGGTGTCGCTTCTTTTTCTCTCCCTCTCATGTCTAAGGGTGACACTTTAACTTAACTTCAGTTTACTTTTCAAAAAAAATCAAAACTAAAATGCTACTCACACCCACCCCTTTAGTATAAATAAAACTGACAAGGATCCTATCTACATCCAAAACTTTAAATCTTCATGTCTTCCCTGTCACTATATACGAGGCCCCACATTTTCTTAAATAGAAAAACAACTTGCAAAAATTATATTCTGATCGGATAGAACACATTTTTTACCTTACTAATCATTTTAAGAAAAAACTCACCAGCTAAAAAATTAAATGCCGATAAATATTGTAAATAACAAGAAGGCGTTGTTATAAATAAAATGTTCTATTTTATACGAGTATGCGCTACCGTATGCTTCTGTCGTCAAATGAGTCTTTAGTTATTACTGTAAAATAACGACATTTTCATTTTTTTCTTCTTTTCGTCGGTCTTGTTCGTGTATTTTTGTCATGTCTTTTCTCGTTCTTACATTTTTTTCTTATTTTTTGTCGGTCTTGTTCGTGTATTTTTGACTTACTTTTTCTTGTTCTTATATTTTTTTCTTCCTCATTCTCCGTCTTGTTCGTATATTTTTTTTAAGATTCTTCTCCGGCGGCTCATTTTAACGAGGACAAACTGGTAAAGAATTAAAGTAAAACATTCGAAGTGAAGAACAATTAGAAAAAAAATTATACAAAATAAAGAAAAATTTAAGACGAAACAATCTCTAGTATCCTAACATGAAGCAGTTTAGTAGCTACGTGGGCAGTCTTTACCCACATTGTCGATTGAATAGCTTGCTATTAATGTATATTTAATATATGTTATAAAGGAGATTGTTGATTAAATTTCTTCTGACTGTTAGATTTCATCGTTACTATCAAAGATTGCATGATTATATCAATCGGCATTCTATAATATTCATAAATCAAGAAAACATTATTTTCATATATCCAACCAGAGAGAAAGTATATTATTATATTTTTTTCTTTTATTGAAAAAAAAAACATTCATTGACAATAATGATTACATTTTATTTCATTTTTCTAGAGCTCGATATAAAACATCCTTGAATCTTTTGTAAACTTATAAAGATATAATAAGCTTCAATAGAAATGTATTATTTTTTCATAAATACATATTTCTTTAAATATTAATTATGTTTAACTAATGATCTATAAGATTTTTACATTCGATAAAAAAATTATGTGCTTACTAAAAAATTTATGTATATATTTATTTAAATCACAACAAAATGGATGAAAATTAAACAAGACTCAATACAGCGATCGATATATGATTAGTCTTATGTTGACAAACTTTTCAAAATAGTCATTTTAGTAAGAAGTATGAGATAACGTTATGGATACTTTCATGTGCGTAGTCGATTGTCCTTAACGATAATCTACTTTTCATTTTCAAATGTGCCAATGATTGGCAAACAATAAGAGATTTTATCTTTTTTTTTGTATTATATGAATATATCACTATAACAAGAAAATTAATAGAATTGTTGCAAGACTCGCTTCTGTTCATTGTGTGGAAAGAAGACAAATATACACACCCACACCCATGTTGTTTCTATAGCTGCTTTTGGCAATAAATATTCTTTATCATTTCTTTGAGTATGTACTTATATATGAGCGTTTATTTTTATGAGCAAAATGAATAAAGCGTGCGAGAATAAATTGTTATATGCGAGAAACACAACAGAGACACGACAATAAGATATAGAGATGAGAATAAAATAGAAACTGTGTCAGAAATTGAATGTGTATAAATGCGATATCATTATCACAGCTGTAATAGCTATTATTGATATCATGGGACTTGTTGAAGCCGATCTTATTGTTATCATCGATTGCATGGGAGTTGTCGAAGTCGATATTATTCGAACCGTTGCATTAGTCACTGAAAAGAAAGTCATTTACGTATCAGATACTGACAATGGAGTGACAAAATCCCTTACATATTCTAGATGTTACCATGTGTGTTGATGAAATAGTTGTTTTAGTTCCATCTAAACAAAAAAGTAGCATTATTTCTAACAATATTATTTATTTCGATTACTTGTAGATGAAACTATTAAATTACTGAGTGGACTTGTAAATGTCATTTGTATTGTAGTTGTTGTTGGACCTAAAAAATCTTTAATGATATGAAAGTCATTTTTATTGTTCTATCCTTACCTGTATTATTCATATTTTGAAACTTTTGCACTCGATTACTTCCCATATCCCCAATATAGATAGATCCTTGACTATCAAATGCTAGACTTACTGGACCACTGAGCTGATTCATTTGATTTCCAGAAACACCTGAACAAGCAATAATACAGACACCCGAATTTGCATTAGGTGCCCACTTGACGATTCTATTATTTCCGGTGTCAACAATATACATGTATCCATTTGTATCAACAACAACCGATTTAGGATAGTTAAGTTGCATCAAACTGTTTCCAATCGATCCGTTTCCAGCGACAGTAACTCCAGATGATGCTCCATAGACCCATTTTTGAATTCGATGGTTCCAATAATCGGCAACGTACACTGTTCCAGAATCATCGACAGAAATCCCAAGTGGACAACCAAGTTGAGATGCTGCGGATCCGCTTGTACCGTTTCCAGCCACTATGACAGGAGATGAAGAATTCGGCGCAAAACGGATCACCTGGCTATATCCACAGTCACTCAAATATAAGTTATTGTACTTGTCAATAAACGGAAAATAAGCATAACTAATATATGATGATCCAACTATCGTAACCGGATTTGTAGCGTTTCTAAACCATTTCTGCACTCGATGGTTATAAGTATCCGTAATGTAGATGTATGCACTCGTAACAAAAACACCGCTTGGATAGTAAAATTGATTGAGGTTAGAACCGTATCCAGCTCCGATAATACTTATGCTACTCATGCTATTAAGTGGTACGACTACTATTCTATTGTTGCCAGCATCACCAATATAAAGTGTATCAGCATCTGAAATAAATATACCTTCATTTAGACTAAGATAACCAACTGCTGAACCACTTGTGCCATTAGCTTTGCCAGCGATCGTTGTCCCATTTACAGCCCAGTACGCATACGATGACACATTGTTAAGTGCTAAATAAACATCGACTCGTACATCATCGTATATACGAAAAAATATTCTTCATGGTTAATTTTCAAAAAGCTTACCTGAAATATCATCGCACAGTACCATAATAAGAAAGAACGTCCAAAAGACGATTTTTGTTTGAAATTGAAGCGACATGTACTTTTTACTTGCAAGATATTGTGAAATGTAACTGTAATAAATGCTTCAAAATGTATTTATGCTGTTATTTATATATCAAAACTTCTCTCGTCGTATGTTGTTGTTATCATAGAGAGAAAAACAAAAGAAAATATTTTTTTCTATAATATTAGCCTACGCAGTCACTTTCGGTGAAGAAATTAAACAGCATTCTATTAGAAATAATAGAGTAAAAAGTGATTTTTGAGTCTGAATTTATTGGAGCAAAAAACAAGGGAATCTATTAAACAAAATCCTGATATACAGCTAGAGAAAAATGAGTTTTATTTCCGACATCAGTCATGCAAAGTTTAATTGTTTCAAATATTGAAATAACAAAAAAATAATTTCCGTTTCAAAATACTCAACAGTATTGCCTATGCATGGAGTTTGAATATTAAATAAACCAAACAAACAAACTTTTGTTATTATGTTTGATGATTGTCTCTTTGATGGAAACTTTAAAATTTTGAAAAACAATTTATTAAAAGATCAAAGATATATTTACTTTTTAGCTTCAGTAATAAGCAACATTGAAAGATAAACAATTTTCAAAGAAAAAATTTATTTCTTTGGATTGTAAAATGCAGTCAAGCGACAACAGAAACAAAAGAAAACACAAAGAATATTACATTTAAAATCAACAGGCTAAATTATATTAACTTGAGTTCTGATAAAGTTACATATAAATTTGTGAAAAAAGTAGATAAAGATCAATGCACATTCTCAAAAGAATAAAATTAGATTTAATTTTTTTCTGGGATGTAAAATCCGTAATTTGCATTTCTTTACTTTTCATCAAAGTTGAATAACAATTCAAAAATAACTTAAAATCACCAATTGGAGGCATAATTCGTGCTTTTTAGATATCTCTATTTGATTAAAAAGTGGTTATTAAAATTTCGAACACAAAATAGTCAATGTAATAGAAAGAAAACGTGTAACTCGAAAATAATATCAAAATTATGCGCAGTATTCTTCATTGTTCGAATAAATTAAAACTATCTTGAAGGTGTGAGTGTAAATAGGATAGATATGCAACACCCACACTCTCGCACATCACAAGAGGAAAATACCAAAAACGACAAAGAGAAGCAGAACACATCACTATCTAACAGTTCTTTTGTATGTTATATTGTATTGGTCTTCAAAAATTGAAGAAACTACCATCGTTGTGTCAAGAAAAGTTCAAGTAACAGATATAGCTTAAAATAGATTGAAGTAACTTGAAGTAATAAATGTTTTGTTTTAATGTAGCCGTAAATACAATGATCAATTTTTTCTTTACTTTCTGTTCTTACTGCTTCAATTATTTTAATTTGACTATAAAAAATTCATCGGAAAGTATTTAAATATCAAAAACAAGAATAAAAATCAATTTGTTACTGTGTATAAGATGACGGAAGGAGGGTGGCAGTGAGCATACTGCATACACCTGTCCAATTGAAAATTAAATGTCAATGTTAAAAGGAATGCATACTGTCATCAACCTATCAAACTTTCAGTTTGACAGAATTGATTTTCCGAAGTAATAATTTAATCGTTCTTTTTCCGAGAAAAAAAACTTCAAATTTTTCTAACGCCGACTATTATGAATACGTGTATGCAACTCATAATTTTCTTCACTGGGCGTAGTGAGGCAACAAATACTAACAATAAATTCTAATATTATTTTTTAATGCATTCATTTTTTCATTTATTAAAGAAACTCGATTAGAAAATCATCAGAATACTATTGAAGTGAAACAAAAAAAAATCAACAATGCATTCTAATACAGCGGTTTGCTATTTTGTATTGTTTAAATCATATTTTTTTCTCTGTTAATATAATAGCGGAATCAAGTGGGAGTGGATACAGGTACAATACCAACCATTTCCTCAAGATCAACGTACGTCTCCTCTATTCTTTAATGATTAACAAAACAAAAACTTAAATATTTCTAGGAAATCAGCTGCTGAACCTAAAACAACACTTGAAATTGTACTCCTTGCGATCATCATTGCTGTAACTATTGCTGCTATTGCTATTCCAGCAACTGTTATTATAGCAACAACAGCAATATCAAGTATAAAATTTTCAAGTATCATTTTTTGGTGAAAAAGTTTCGCAATTTTAACGCGATACAGAGCTGAGAAAAAAATTCTGCTACACAACGTAGAAAATTTTGTTTTCAGAATGTGGGGATCTGAAAAGCGTTTGAAATTTCTTTTACGAGACGTTATGTGATTCACTACAGAAAGAAATGCTTCTGTATAATTTCTAGTTGATATTCAATTTGATTAGAATCAAAAATCATACTATCAGTATATTTGCCACGATTGTTGTAGTCGAGTTTAACGCCTCCCATATCAAACTTCACACTTGAAAAGCTTTGTTACTCATATTATATTTAAAAAATCTACAATTATGTTTGTTTTAGAGTTGCCAATTGGTACAATTATTTTATATAGTGGCACTCTATCAACTGTGACCAGTTCAAATTATAAATGGTTAGCCTGCGATGGCTCACAAGTGTCTCGTACAACCTATTCTGATTTATTCAACGTAATTGGCGTAACTTATGGATCAGGTGACGGTTTTAATACCTTTAATTTGCCTGATTTTCGTAATCGATTTCCATTGGGTAGTGATGAAAGCAGTAGTTTATTGGCTGCTGGAGGTGCATCAACACATACATTGACTGTAGCAGAGTTGCCTGCGCATACCCACGGTACAGGTACACTGTCAACTGTCGCCGCTGGTGGACACACGCATTCCTACACTGATCCGGGTCATGATCATGGAGGAACAACAGGTAGTGCAACTTTCGCTAGCGGATCATTTTCTATAACATCTGGTGGTGGTCATGGTACTGATGCTGGAAGTCATACTCACACAATCCCTAATGGTGCAACAGGTATTACAATAAAGAGAGCTGGAAGTCACACACACACAATACAGGGTTCAACGGCGTCTGAAGGTTCCAATCAGCCATTCGACATAATGCCGCCTTATCAAACCATACATTATATCATTCGAGCATGAAAAGTAACACAAATTGTGATATTAATCTTTTAAGAGCAATGGCAACTGGTTACTTGACTGATTTTGTATTTTATTATGCACTAATAAAAATTTCCTATTGTTTCGATAAATGATGTGATTATCAGGTTATTTCTTTTTTTATTCAGTTATTTAACAATAAATGAAAAAGAATCAATGAATTGTTTGAGTACTATCTGGGTGTGGATGTGGGTGGGGTATGAGTGATGATGAGAATAAAGACAAGATGACTCCAAACTTACACTCACATTCATCCCCCTAAAGGATACACAAAAATAAATGAAATTTGGCAATGATTTACATATCAGGAATGTTTTAAGTAACTAAAGGCATTTAACTTTTATGATGAAATTTATTTTATTTTTACGTATTTAACCATAGTACAAAGTTCCAAATCGTCTCGCATAGTACATTCGGGGGGTACTGTTGTTATGATAAATGGTTGTCTTTTACCAGTATCGATATAGCCACGACGAGAATAATAAGCTATTAATTCCGGTCTTTGAATAAGAGCACTTAATTCAATATAATCAACATTCCAATTGTTCAATGCATAATTTTCAGCAGTCGATAAAATAAACTTTCCATAACCTCTCGCTTGTAAATCTGGACGTACAGAAAATAAACCGATTCTGGCACTTTTAGATTCAGTTTGATATAACAAAGAAATACATCCTTTTAAAATCTGATCATTCTCACCGAAAAACATTAAGATGATATTTCTATCAGTATTAATCAAATTCAACAATTGATTTGGGTTTGTGCGTAATACAGGAATTAATTCAGTTTCATTCGTCCATCCCTGATATGACAATGGACCACGATAAGCATTATTTATTAATGGAACTAATAAATCACAATCTGATGTTGTCGCTACACGATACGTCAATGAATCTACTGTATGATTAGAATCAATTGATATCATGTCTTTTATAATATTCGTTCTTAATTTTAAAATAAGAAAAACTATGCAAACTACCTATATCAAAAGGCATAAAATGATGATATTACGAAATAGCGTTCGCTTTTTATCGAAGGTAAGCTAGAATGTGTTATAATGATTCATCATCTTGCAAAGAAAGAGTCAAGATATGATATCATACAAAAAAAGATCCTTGACTAAATAACAAGTTAATTGTATATGAAGGACTCTATTTCTTATATCGAAAATATATATAATTATAACGTTATTAGTATAAAAAAATTACCATCATTTTATCGATTAATTAGTACTCAAGAAATAAAATAAAACTGTGAATGGATAGTCGTTATAGACAACACGAGAAATTTAGGATAATCCGTAGGGTTTCTCTCAGTAAAATTACACGCGCGAGTACCCATACAAGTACTTTCTCCAGGACAGATATTCTTTTAATCTATTGAAATGATCACTGCAAACGTCAACAAGGCTGATATACAACACCTTTACGTCTCTGATCGAGGCATTCAGTTCCTGTTTTATTTTCCATATATAGCGATTTAGGAATGCTTTGAACTGAATATTAGATAAAGAATTGTATGTTCGCAAAAAAAAAAGGATTATTAAATTTTAAAAAAGCTAAATCTATAGTTTTATGTACATTTAATCCCAGTCTGTTTGCGTCAATCAAATAATCAGTAAAGACGATTAAAGTTTTAACGTTAGCTTTTATTCATGACATTATAATTCTAGCTTGTTATTACGTCGAAAATAATTTGAATAAAAACCAAGTCAATATCATTCTTTTCATCATATATTTCTTCATTATGGCATCAACAATTCAAAATTTTGCTTCACAATATTCCTTCTACGCCAATCTTATTATTAATTCTACTGCAATTTTTGGTAATATTTTAAATTTATTAATATTTACTAAATTAAAAATATTTCGAGATAATCGTTGTATATTCTATTTAACAATTGAATCAATTTCGAATTTAATCAATCAATTATTTACTTTAATAATAAATATTCTCCCAAAAATCTATGGTTACGATATAACATCATATTCACTTACTTGGTGTCGAATAAAAAATATGATATATCAAATAGCTAATTTAATAACATTATCTATGGTATGTTTTGCTGCTGTAGATCAATTTTTTTCAACAAATTATCGATTACATTTAAGACAATTTTGTACATTTAAATTAGCTCAATGTTTTGTATTTGCAAGTATTTTTATTTGGTTTATGCATAGTCTTTTATATAGCTTCTATACTGCTGTTAATCCATCATTAGGATGTATTTTATCAAATCAAATATGGATTGCATATACGACATATTTCTTTTTTCCAGTTATAGCAGGTTTTCTTCCAATTCTTATTGCTTCATTATTTAGTTTATTAGCTTATGGAAATGTTCGTCGAATTATTCGTCGACAAATTTCAATTGAACGTCGTCGATTTGATCGACAAATAACTGCAATGATTCTAATACGTGTTATATTATTTGTTACTGTTACATTTCCTTATACATGTTATAAAATTTATTCCAATAATATTAGTTCGAAAAATGTTGGTGAATTACGAGCAGCAATTGAACACTTGATTCAAGTTTTTATTTATTCATTTTGTAATTTGAACTATGCGGTAAAATTTTATCATATATATAAATTTTTTCTTTTATTAAATATTTATTTTTAGGTTAATTTTTATCTATTTTTTATATCATCATCACGATATCGTCGACAAGTTAAATATATTTTAAAGAAAAAATATTGGCGACAAATAATAAACTGGTGTTGTCATAATAAAAATCAAATTCAGCCAGAAAATACATTAGTTTCAGATGAAAATATTGTAGATGAATAAAATATTTCCTACTCAATTGTATATTATGTTTAAATAAATTAATTATTAAAAATTTCGCATATAAATCATCGACAATATTCCATTGTAATAGATTATTGACATTTTATATTTTACGATCGTCTATGTACCTTATCTGTTTTATATGATGACATATGTTCTTATATAGATTTATTAGACCACTCATACGTGCGTTCTTTAATTATAGAATTTTATGTAATCTCGACTGATTATATAATCAGATAGATTGGTAGCAATAAAAATATAGCTTTTTTACATAATTTATTATATAGAACTTATTAAAAATCAAGCATCAGTCGCAGCTAATATTGTGGCTTGATTTTTTAAGTAAGAGTGATCGTGTGTAGTTAAGCTCGCTCGTTCCCACCCTCACCCCCCCCCCTCTACCTCACATCGGCTACTGGTTCGTTCAAGAGGTTGTGTTGTGTGCTTTCTTCCCCCCTTTTCGCCACCTATTTCGTCTATCATATCCCCGTGCGCGTCATTCTGTTGGTTGTACAAGGATTCTAATTTGTTTTTGATTCCTCACTTTTGTTACCCCTTAGTGTGTCCATCCTCCACTGTATCTTAATCATATCGTATTCAAAAAGTGTAAGCACTCAAGAGTGTTACACAAATAAAAGCGTTAACAAAAAAACAAAAAAACTTATAAAAATTAAAAAGTAACTATAAATACGTGAATTGATAGAATGATTTACTAAAAAAATTCTGTGAATATTTATATTCGAATCGAGCTAAATATATATCAGATATTATCTCTTAATGTTTATTTTTTAAATCTTCTGATTGACAATGATAAGATCTAGCTGTTACTATGTGCATAGTGTCGATTTTATTTTTCATATCTGTTGATTGACGATAGTCATCTGAGATTTGTCAATCTGTCATAAAAGATAATAATATCCAGATGGATCTAATGTTTAATTTATATCAATCTTTTTCACTCTTTTTAATTGACGATAACCATTCCACCATATTTTTCTTTTAAGAACGTGAACTATGAATCAGTAGTATAGGTGATGATATATTTCAAGATAAGGTCAATAAAATAAAGGCATATTTTTTTACCGATAAATAATCTTTTAAATATTTATTAGTACGATATTTTTATATGACGTTTTTTTCTCTGATTGAACTATCATCATTATGAGCAATATAACAATATTCTTTTTTTTTTCTTCCTTCTTAATTGAGTACATAATATACGTACAAGCTTGTCCGTTCGTCTATATATGAGTAATAGAATAATCAAGATGAAAGAACGAAAGAACGAAAGAAAAAACATCTTTCGGAAAAAAAAGAAAACAGTCTTATATATATTACGACATCAAAAAGAAAATCTTTTTTTTCTAATTTTTTCTAGGTATTTATGGATGGATTTTGAAAAAAATTAGTACATCTTGTTCAGTTTTTTATACTCTTTCGAATGATATCATTTTTTATCAGATCATACAGAATCGGAAACTTCGATTATGCCTATTTACTTTAAGAATATTTTTTTTCCAATCAACTTTTGTTTCGTTTTCATCGAAATTAAATAAGCTAGGGACAAATAATATTACATATATTTGTTTTGATGATAAGGGAAGTCATCCGTATCAGATACTTCAATTGACCTTTTGCTCAGATGATGGATAATGACAGTCACGAGATGCCCCACTTGATCTTTTATTCAATTAAAGAGGTGATGACCGCTATAAGATCAAGGGAAGTATTTCGTAATAGATACTTCTCGTGATCTTTTGTCCAGTTGAAGAGGTGATGACCGTTATAAGATCAAGGGAAATGTTTCGTAATAGATACTTCGCGTGATCTTTTGTCCAGTTGAAGAGGGGATGACCGTTATAAGATTCTTTTTATCGTTTCTCTCGTTTTCGCTTTCTCTCATTTTTATTTTTGCCCTATTTCTCTCTCCTCTCATGACCTTGACTCTCTCTTTTTTATTTTTACCCTGTCTCTCCCTTATCTCTCTATACCCTGTTTCTCTCTTTTTTCTCGTTACCCTGTTTCTCTTTCTCCTTTCGTGACCTTGATTCTCATTTTTTCTCTCGGTTCTGTCTTTACCCTGTCTCTCTTTCCCCTTTCGTGACCTTGATTCTCTTTTTTTCTCGTTCCTGTCTTTGCCCGGTTTCTCTCTTTTTCTCCCGTTTCTGTCTTTGCCCCGTTTCTCTCTTTTTCTCTCGTTTTTCTCTTTGCGCCGTTTCTCTCTTTTTTCCTCTCGGTTCTGTCTTTGCCCCGTTTCTCTCTTTTTCTCTCGTTTTTATCCTTGCCCCGTTTCTCTCTTTTTTCCTCTCGGTTCTGTCTTTGCCCCATTTCTCTCTTTTTCTATTTCTATATTTCTCTCTCCTATATAATCTAGGGTTTTATGTGAAACAGATATTATTTGAACAGTAGACTAATACGATTACCATCTATAATGAGACGTAGTAGCAAGAACGCTACTTTTCCATTTGTCATGTCGTCCCCGTAACTATAGCATGCAAGAACTAAGTAATAAAAGGAATTCATCCTAATTTTGATATGTATGTATATCTTCGTGTACTTAGTATAACCAAATTCTACACCGTTTTTCGATCTTTTAACAGAAAGAAAAGAAAAATCAGTCTAAATATATTTTAATTATAGACGAAGATCTTGATTAATTTTCGCTCACGTGGGCATATTCTCTTGCGTTCTTCTGTTCGTTTACTATAAATGCAAACAATCTTATTATGTACTTTCTAACGAATCTTTTCTATACATCAAACTAATAGATAATTAAAACTAATTTTTATTTCAATTTTTCTATCGAAATGTAATTTAATATGATTTTAGATAAACTATGAGTCCTCCAAAACAAACAAAATTAATGAAGCTCGTTTGCAAAAATTCACAGCAAATACGGTCACGTTTTACAAACTCGACCTGGATTAAAAAAGATCCTCAATCAAATAAAAAACAATTGGTTATAAGTAAAGTTGGAGAAAAATTTCGAAAAAAATTAACAAAATTAAGTGTTGAAAAAGAGTGGGGCTTAGTTCGGAGGGTAAGTAATAATAAAAAGTCTATTCAGTCTGTAGTAAATCTTTGAACAAATAGGAATGGAGAGTGACAAACGAAGTTCCATTGGATAAACGTCGTACACAATGCTTATGTGGGAAACCAAATTTAATAAATGTAACAAATCTAAAAAATATCAAAAATGATATTATTGTCACAGCTGGGAACTGTTGTATAGAACAACTTAAGTGGTAAATGTACTATAAATATATTATTTTTCAGTGTTTGTAGTATTAATGCATATAACTTTTTGAAGATATTATATAAATTATTGTTTTCGTGTTTTGTTTTTGATATATTTTTTGAACATATAACAAATACATTATAGTTATGGCTAGCTATTTTCTAGAAATATTTGTCGAATGATCCGCTTTTTATCGATATTTAAATTATTACTCTTGAGGGCATGGGTAGAGCATGATTAATTAAATGATATCCACACCCTCAAGTTACATAAACAAATATATTAGGAGTATCCTGGTGACTTTTCATGTTCGTCTATGTATTTCTTGTGTTGCGCTGGATGCTGTTTTCTACCGAAGAAATAGCATTTCGCCATTCGAAGAGAAACTCGGGAATATTGGAATGACGCTCCAATGGATTCAAAGCAACAGCACGCAAAGCTATTGTGTACAAGAGTTCGTTAGCATCCCAAAGTGAAAATGAGTGATTGAGTTCGCCACCAAGTAATCCAAAAGCACAAGCACCCATTCGAAAAACATTCGTTCTATGATCAAGTATTGAATTCGACTGATTCTCTTCTGGTGCTAAATAACGCGGTGAACCCCATGGTGGTTGATTTGGTTGACAAGGCATCTTTTCAAAAAAGTCAATGTCACAAATTTTCATCACATATATCTCAAAATTATATAACATGTTTCCATCGTAGAAGTCAATTGCCACATAGCCACACCGATCGACATGTTCGAGAAAAGTAAAAATAGTATCGAGTGCATCGAAACGTTGTTTGAGTGAAAGTTGTCGAAAACGATAATAAGGTGATCGAATATCGGTGTATTTGCGCGGTGGAGGATAGGACCAATGTGGATGGAGACATTCACTATTTTCAAACCATTGAAAAACTAAAGCAAAACCATTACTGGTTGAAAATGATGTTTCCATTGGAATGAGATGTTCATGTGGTTGTAAAGCTTTATAGACTTCAGCTGCTTGACGAAGACGAGTGATTGCCTCGCATGGATCACCCTCGAAACATTCTGGACGTGCTCCGGCATATTTGACAAAAACACGTTGATTAGTTTGAAGGTCTACACAACCAAAAGACAAATTTCCCGAGTCTTGTTGATCGAAAATACAGAATAGATGTGAAAATCGATCATTGAACCAACTAAAATCGTGTTCTTCATGTAGTTTAACGTCAAATCCAGATATTTTTAATGTAATCATCTAAAAAAAGAGTCAACGAAAATTGTCTTTTCAATATTAATTCATTCATAGATGAAACCAAGAAAAAGAGTGCCTCAAGAATGAGTCCATACATAACGATTACGAAACAATGTGTAGAGTAAGATAAGAGAACCGTTATGAATGTTGTCAAGCAAATGTTTTAATAGCATGTAGAGAAAGAAGGAAAGAAAAAAAAACAGAACAATTGAAGCCTCATAGATTACGTTCTCACTTCAGTCGCATGTATCGACTTATCACTATCATCAATCGTCATGAATCTTTCGAAATACTTTGTGAGAAATTTACATCTACCAAATAATCAGAATAAATCTATATAAATTATTATATTAGAATAGCATTACGTCATAGACAGTATCACTTGATTTATATTCTTTTCATGAGTATATCATCTTGATCATGAGCATTAAATGCAATATGAGTAATGAAACTTTGGCAACAGTTGTCACTTCTATTAGTAGAGAACAAATAAAACATAGTAATGTAATTGGATCATTTCTGTCATATATTGATACAAGATTACAACTACAAGGTCATATCCGAGAAATATATAATTATCTTTTCGTTTAGTTAAATGTCAGTACTGATAAGATAAATGATAATATCTTTCTAAATATTATTACAGTTATATTGTTCTGTGGGCGTGGGTGTAGATATGGATACTATATTCGCCTAGCACCCACACCCTGATCCATGTCAACATATAGAACGATTCGGACAACTATTAACTAATCTATAATTATCTTGTACCAGGATCTTGAAGAGACTAAAGCGACATCATTAGTATACAAAAATAATTCAGAAATTATAATTATTCGTTAAAAATCATATATAAATCACGAAAAATATGGAGGAAAATTTTCAACAATTCTCATGTGTATTGACCAATAAAAACAAGGACTGATAGAATAAAGAGAGTAGACAGACAGACCGTTAAAAATCACATAACAATACAAACTTTTTGAAATTTTCACCAACTGTTTACTATTTATTTTAGGTTTAATTAAATATCTGATCAATAGATTTCATCATCGTCGTCATCGTTTACTGCTGAATTATTTGATCAATTTAACTTAAATATTCTAAATTATTACAGACTCTTGCTGCATTTCTTAAAAGTTTTAATTGTATTTCGTGTTCATATGATATTGTGTGCTTGTTTTAAGTTGTTTTCTCGAGAAATTTACTGTTGTTAAATAAAACTTGATTTTGTGTGATGAAAATAGAAGACAATATTATAATATACAAGATCTTAACAATGTATACGAAAGATATAAATAATACGTATACAAGATCTGTACCGAAGATCCAGTTACACATTTTGCTTACAAGATATTCGACGAGGGTTAGTTATTTTAATAATGCAGAAGATGAAGTTCTTTTTTTACACGCAATACCTATTTATATATATATATTCAATAAACATCTTGATAATTTTACAGAAGCTCAGCAATATCAATTATCTTTTAACGCTTATCTTATTGAAAAAAAAACATCAAAAGACATGAAATCATAGCATGGATATGCGTGTAAGAATAATAAATTTCTCATTCGTCTATTTATAACAGCAAAGCACTCGAGAAATTGATCTAATACAATTTATAAATAACCAGTATCGACAATATGGGTACTTTAAACATACATTTTTTCCGTCACATATAAATACCTTTTGAAAACACCGTAAAAAAATACTCTGACTTCAATAAATGATATGTCAAGTATTGTATTATGTTAAATAAATGTTAATGTATCAATAAATTTCTTTTTTTTTATACACCATTATCAACTGATTGTATTCTGTTTATTGTCTTCTACTACATGTTAAAGTGCATAGGATGTCACTAATCAACGTAATTCATGTTCATCTGATTTCTTATTGTTATTATTTCTTCTTTTGATGTCACATTGTTAACCTCGGTATATAGAGTCAATAAAAGCAAATATTAAAAAAAAGAAAAGAAGATAGAGTTATGTTCTCTATGCTATCAAATTAGATTTATTGGGTCTATTATTACCTAAATGGGCTAGTCCAATAAAGCACAACAATTCTACAAAGTGATACTTGAACAGATATCTGATAATTATAAAATAGCAAATATTTATCATCAACTTATCTACATCGTCCAATGTACAGAGAATCCTTTCGCACTCGCAATGACAATAAAATTTCATCTATTTTTGTTATCATAAAAATAGAATTTTCTATATACGAAATGAAGATCTGAGCATATGTTGATTTTTCTTCATATCTCATCCAAAGATCTTCAACAAGATTATTATACATTAGAGTGCTGTGCAAATCAAAAGATTATCTGATAAAAGAATTAGTTGTGACGAAACAAATCAAATATCTAATAAATAACTAGTTGAAACGTGGATTATATGGTTATCTCTCCGCACATTATTAATACTATTTTATATAATTGCATATGTATATAAAATATTTTTTCTCTAGTTATATAAAGGTGAATAGGAAGATTGATATTTACTTCATAAAAGCACATTTTCAAGAATAATACCTATAAATGTATTTTTTATGGATAGGTATGATGTACTTTTACGAAAGAGAAAAAAAACGTCATGTCAATATATGTCATTTATTAATCAACAATTTCTGTTTATGTGAATACAAAAAAACAGTAATCTATTCACAATTTCTTTTGAGTATATTGGACTTTTTGGTTTGTCCGATACACTATGTCGTATACGTGTTTGATCATATTATTTTTTGTTAACATTATCAGTATGAAAACCAATTAAAATTTTTTATTCGAATAAATAAATTTATTTTCTATTGAGGTATATCATCAACATCAGAAAAACATGTTAATCGACCTCCTGTAATAATTCTTCCAACACGTAGAAAATTTATTTTTTATTGTATTAAATAAATATTTTTTTTTTTTCAGAATCTTGTCAAGGAGAAAATTGTCAATCATCACGAAATTTCGTAATTCCTCTTGTTATTTCTCTCATTGCTCTTATTCTAATTATTATTCTTGGAATTTTTGTTATTTGGTTTTATCTTAGACGACGAAGAAATCGAACTGAAAAAGAAATTTTGAAAGATTCTCCACCACAATCCATTGATCAACCTCCATACTATTATGACACTGTAACAACAGCATAATTATCGAGATTATATTATAAAAAAAAACGTTTTTTTTTCTTTTCATAAAAGTCTTCGTTTTAAATTAATCTAAATAACCAGAAGAAATAAGAGCATCTAATGACATTTCTCCAGTAATATCACCAATAATAAATGTTTTTAGTTCCATATATGATGGACAATAATTTCCAAAATTAATTAATGATTCATGATAATGAGGACTAATTTTTCGTCCTAACATATAAGTATATCCAAATTCTTGACTATAACTACGTTCAAGATGATATTTTGGTGGAAAATCATCTGTAGAATCCATTGAATCGATAGTCCATTCAATTAATTTGTAAATAGAACTTGGACCGAGTGGATCATTATCATAATATTTAATAAATGTATAATATTGTACAGCTGAAACGAACCATTGATAATCAAGAAAGAATATATCACGCACAAAACCTTGTGGATCAAGTTCATCACCACCTAATACTAGATGTGTTTGTTTAAGTTTATTCATTAAACGATCAGCATTAGCATAATCTTCAGGTGTAGATGGTGGACGATTGATATTTTCACGTCCATCAATTGACCAAAGAGCAAGAGCTAATTGACATTTGTGAATTAAATCATCTGGAATTGATTTTAATTCACCATCATCGACAACATTATCAAGTTCATAGAGTAACATATCTATTTTAGGATGTATAATATTATTATCGTCGTCGTCTTCTTCTTCTTCTTGTGCGATTGTTGTCTTTGCATGTAATCTAAAGAGTAAGAGAATTTACTTGATGAGTCATTCATTACATTCAATTTCAAAGAGTGAATTTTTAAATTTTACGTACGGTGAAATATAGAAAATTAATGCGAAAAAAACCTACATTAAAATAAGAATAAACCATAACCAAAATTTCATTGTTTCTTGTTGAATATTGTTTGAATATAGTCTTAGAGATACGTTCTTTTATCAACTATTACAATATTATATGTTCTTTTATTTGTAATCCTTATCAAAAGAATGTTACTTTTTTTCTTTCAACGATAATAATAAAGTGCATTAGTCATTGTTCTCTCAACATCCATGCTTTTTTGACTATCAATAAAGATTATTGTTTGAAAAAGAAACTCGTGTGAGTTCGAGATAATATGGTATGAATTATCTTTAGAAGTAATATTCTTTGATTTCACTGAATAGACATCTAAACAAAAAAAATAAAGAAAAGATCCTCATAAACGAAATTCAATCAAACAGAAAGAATTTGATCTTAGTCACGGTGTGTGAGAGAGAAGCAGTTTGAGTGTATTCTAATCGAGCAGTCAACTTGTTGGCAAAACAAAAATCAATGAAGGTAAACATCCAAACAAACAGATCGATGCACAAAGCATGGCTAAACAACTGAGACATTGTACAACTATCTTGAGGGTGTGGGTGTAGATAGCAAGTAGTTTATCCGCACTCAATAAATCTAATGGCATTGACTCTCGAGATGAATAATTTTCATACGTTATCTAACTACTTTAAATTCTGATACAAAACTTGATGTCTTTAAATATGCTTTTATACAATACTTTGATACTAAATTTGACTTATTAATATTCTAGTAGAGATGTGGGTGTTCTTCTCATTCATTACCTATGTTCACACACACACACCTACTGGTTGTTATCTATTAATAAACATGCTTTTTAGAGAATAACTCTTGATACTGTATATAATTTTTCATAACATAGTATGTGATAGATTCAACTGCCAACATATGTTTTCACTTATATTATAACGATCATCGACTGACTTTAGTTTTCTATGTATTAAACTATTTTGTGAATTAGATGTAGACATGAGTAGTAAGTTCATTTTTCATCTACGTATGTACATCCATCCACACACTCTCGAGAGTATTCAATATCAATGGTTATTACCAGATATGTTCATGTCGATAAAACTAAATTTAAGAGAGAAACATTTATTTTAGTAATCTATCATAAAGAAAGAGATATGAATAGAATATAACGAAATATTACGAAGTTCTTTTACGATTTTGTTAGTTGATCTGATTGATATCGACGATGAAAAATTAGATTAATGACAATCAAAACCATTCGTTGTTGTTTTTATTTTCTTTCGTCAGAATCAAGTGACTAGTCCCATAATCCTGATTTGTGATTTGGATCTCTAAATTACCAAAATATGTCGAATGAGATTAATCAAAGAATTCTCAATAAAAAAACATATTTTTTAGTAGAAAGATCAAGTACTATTTAACTTACTGAACGTTGTGACCTCTCATGGTTTCACCAATATTTTAATGCTTTAAAGTTTGGTGCTTCTTCGAAGAAATTATCGTGCGGCTCGTAACCTAACAGATCTTTCGTGGATTGAATATCCATACAATTGAATGTATTGTTTGACAGGCCATGAGCATTGACAAAACGAATGGTTTCTGAAGCATCAATACAACGTTCAAAGAGGTGACAGGCATCACGTGGTGATAACCAAGCATCCATCATCCAGTAATGTTCATATTCAACTTGCGCAACGGAATTTGGTTTGAAAGCACCAATACGAACTACAATAGCAGAGACACCTTCTTGCTCTCCCATATACCTTGCCATAGCTTCCCCAAAACATTTCGTCACGCCTTGAAACAGAAAAATGAAAAAATATGGTGTCTTCATTATTTGTATATTCTTGAGAAACATTAATAGCAATTATAAAGATACCAAAATTTCTATCATAGATGGGACTGAGACGATGAATGTTGATGCTGTCTATCACTTACCATAGAGATCTCCAAGATTTGGAAATTCATTTGTTTTAGCTGAGGGTATGGGTAGGTGTGGGTAGGTGTGCGTGTGTGTGTGGGTGTGAATGAGTGTTATTTTCTCCCCAACAATCACACCCACACCCTATTGTCGTTGTGTCATTGTAATTAATATTAATATCAGTATATTATTATCGTTGCGCCGTTGATATTAAGTACGCCGTAATGTCGATTACGTTTAAGTTTATCATAGTATACTCCTGCTTAGCTATAAGTATAAGTGACACTTGGATTTCACTTTGACAACAGAACTGTAAAGCACAAGTGGACGCTAGTCATGCAGAAACGAAAAAGCTGATTAAAGAACAAGAAAAATTCAACTCGAGCAATTGGTCTCATTTGAGTCTAACAATTATGATGGGTTTCATGGAGACATTTCTAGCGGTCGGATGTATATACATATATTGTCGTATCATACCAATAATACGTATAGCACGAAGAATAAGAAATTCTCAGAATCATCCCGCACCGGGTCTTTACGATTACCAAATGAGAGTTCAGTCATCATACACAGCACAATATATGCGGAGTACTTGGAAGGGAAAAGATTCTAACCAACTGACTACTAATGGTACAGATGGTAATGTGTAATAAATTCAGCTCGTATAGAACAGCTTGCAAAAAATATAAACAATTAGAAATGATTCACTAGTGACTTCTTTTTACATTAGCAGTTAAAACAGCAGTTATCATATAGCACTCGCTGCATGGCAAACGCTTCTACCGTTTCTTTTATTCTTGTTATCATGGCCATATTGTCGTATTCGTTTGTTTTGTTAAAAAGGCCTTCATTCTTCTTTTTTCCTTTTTACTTTTGTTTTATTTCTTCTTTTTTATTTCTTCTGCACGTCTCATTCTATAGCGCTGACTTCACGAGCCTTCGCTCCCCCTTTTTATTTTTTCCTTCTGTGCTGGTCCCTAAAATTCTCAATAACTAAAGTATATCATTTAAAAAAAAACTGAACACGCAGCAGCAGCTATAGCGTCCTTTTATAATTATATACTTAAGTGTTGCTTCATGCTTATAAAAAAAATTTATTTGTAAGTGCCCCCGAGCAAAATAGTATTTCACATCTGCTTAAATAAAAGAAATACATTTTTGCAGTTTGCTTTCTCAATAACATATTTAAAAAAATCGTTGACAAGTTTCAAAGTTTGCGTGCTATTTTTTTTCTAGCGCTATTGTTTTTTTATAGTAATAGAAATAAACTGATGTCTGGTGTCTGAAGTATATACTATTAAGATTGAAAGTAAATTTCATGATTCAGAAAAATACAACAAAAAAAAAGAAGAAAAGAATTAATCCGTATATATTCCGTTGCTTCGCATTTGTTTAAACAAACTAAAACAAAAAAATACGTTTTTGTACGTCTGAAGTAAATAATCATACGAACGTTTTGTTTTGACTAACATTTTTCTATCGATATAGTTTTTAACCGAGTAAATTGAGAATATAGAGAAAATCTTCGTTAACTTTAAATTATAAATTTAATAAAAATACTTCTCTTTTCTTTGCTTGGTATAGAATATAATGATGGATTCATTTGTAAGTGCATATGATGGAAAAGTTGGGCCTCTTATGGACAAAATTGATCAAGTTCGAGCATTATTATCAGCAAATAATGATGGTGTTAATTTTCCGAATGTTGTTGTCGTTGGGGATCAATCAAGTGGAAAATCAACATTATTAGAATCTTTATCATTGGTTGAACTTCCAAAAGGTTCTGGTATTGTTACACGATGTCCACTAGTTTTAAGATTACGTAAATCAATTCAAAGAAAAGTTTATCGTCTACATGACGATAATAAAAAACAATTTTTGGATGAAACTAAATTAAATATATTGAAGTATATTGAAGAAGAAACAAAAATACTTGCAGGAAATAACAAAAATGTTGTGGAAAATTTAATTGAATTACTTGTTGAAGATCCAAATTTACGAGATTTAACTGTAGTTGATTTACCTGGTATAGCACGAAATCCAATAGGCGATCAACCTAAAAATATTCATGAACAAACAACAAAGTTAATTCGTAACTTTATTAAAAAAGAAGGCACTGTCATTTTGTGTGTTTTTCCTGCCAATGTTGATATTGCAACAGTTGAATCATTCACATTAGCACGTGAATATGATCCGACAGGTATTCGTACAATAGGTGTTATAACAAAATCCGATTTAGCTCCTAATCAAGATTCATTAGTACAACAATTACTTATGAATCAACCTAATGTGTTTCAATTAACATTAGGCTTTATTGCTGTTCGTAATCGTAGCACCGATGAAAAAATAAGTTTAACAGATGCACATACACGTGAAAAAGAATTTTTTTCTAATCATCCAGCTTCATCACTCGTTGGATGGCATTGTCTTGGTATTAACGCATTAATTAATCGTTTAGCTGATTTATATTCTGATCGTGTTAGTGAAATATTTCCAAAAATGCGAATTGAAGTACACATGAAATTAAAAGATATTCGTGAACAATTATCAAAATTTCCACCAGATTTAGATACACCTTCAGCACGTTTAGCAAAATATCATGAATTAGCGGAATTTTATGTTGAAAATATCTTAAAAGTACGTTTTTCAGCATCAGTTGATGGTCAAACGACCAGTATGAGTAATACTTTACATATAAAATTTGGAAAATATATTAATGTAATACATCGACATACAGAAGAATTATTTACCGATACGTATCATAAAAAAGTTAGTACTGCTATTTCAGCATGTATTGGTGAACAATTACCAAATTTTCTTCCACATCCTGTATTAAAACGTTTAATATGTGAAAAGTTGGATCAACTTTGGACAACAACAAAGGTTCTGATTAATGACTGCTTTCGTACTGTATTAAATTTATTAAAATATAATAGTAATAATCAATATAAAGATGATATTTTATTAATGAAATTAATGCCAGCTTTTCGTGATATTGTTAAACTATATCTTAATGAAAAAAATCAAATTATACATAATCAATTACATGAAATGATTCGATTAGAGAAACATGATCCATATACAATTGATTCTTTCTATAACAATAAGATAGATGGATTTCGAATTTATTCTGCAGAATTAAATTCAAAAGATAATGATGAAGAAAGAAAAGCATTGTCTTTAAAAAGGAAATATGATGATGTTGATGATGAATTAATGTTTAATTCAATTTTAAATGTTGATCAAGCTGTACAAGAAATGATATATAGTGTGTATTCATATTGGAAATTATTAACAAAACGTTTTATGGATTATACAGCTTTAACATTACGTGCAGCATGTGATTTTGATGTATGCCCTGGCGTACAAGAACGTTTAAGACATCTTCCTATAGAACAATGCGATTTTGTTGATTCATATCTTGCTGAAGATGTTTTTACTAAAACAAAACGAAAACAATTACAACAAACAAAAGAACGATTAGAAAAAGTCGATGCTATACTTGGTGGTCATAATACAACAAATTTTGCAAATCATACATTTATTGACTCAATCTCAATGGAAGATGATTCATTTATGACATTAGATAAACTAGCACAAAGTATCACTCCTCCTCCTCCTCCACGTCCTCCAATTACTACTACCAGTGATACTATTACTACCATGAGTAGTGTTCCATTGGTACCAAAACCCGTTGTTTCTAATGGATTGCAAACCACATCCATACGCAAATAGGAATACGAATATTTAAACATTTTTAAACATTTAGAAGCTTTAGAAAATTTTATTAGTTTATTTCTTAAAACTTAAACACTAATCTCTATTATTTCATTTAAATTCATTATTAATAAACTACATATTTCATTCATTAGATTATAACTCGGATATAATAGAAAATGAGGATGCGAGTTTATGGTATACACAATAATACTTCTATTCAGTCATATTCCCTTTCAAATTTATTTAAGGTACATCTTGAGGGTGTGGGTGGGTGTCTTTCCTTTATTTTATCAACTTCAGCACTCTTATTTTCATGATTTCTTTTATTCGCATGACTTGATACCTTTACTATGAGAGTACAATGAATGAATAGCAATTTTTTTTAAAGTTTCATTATCATTTTACAATTGAAAAATTTAACATCATATAATGATATGTTTGCTTGTTTATTAATAAATAATATAATTAAAAAATAAAATATTTTATAAATATATATATCAACGTTACCACCATAAATACAGTTGTTTATTATTTATTTTTAACATATAATCATCAAGTAACGTCTCAGATTCGATCAACGTTTTCAGTCCTGTACGCCAAATGTTTTTTACCGATAGAAGGCATAATGAGCATAAATTATTAGTATTTCGATTTGTTTTCTCTAATAGAAATCGTATACATGATTCGAAATCTTTATCATGAAGATCTATTGTAAGATGTTGGATTCGAGAGAATAAGGCAATAAGTATTTGAAGTTTCGCTAATGTACATTTTCCTTCATAAGTCACGTTTGTACTGGTATTTGTACTGGATGCTAATTGAAAAGATTCATTTTGCTGAATAGAATTGTAATTAGCTCCATAAAGTGACATAGCTTTAAGTACTAATGTGTGAATATGAGGTGTACAACGTAATAATTCAATTAGTTTTATTAAAGAAAGACACTGACATTTAATAACTAATTTAATGAGTTGCTTCAAAGGAATAACACAGCTAAGATTGAATGAAAATAAATTATGAGTGTTTGACAATTTATTTTGAAGAGTAAGTGTAGTAACATTTGGAAAATAAAATTTACAATTAATGGTTTCTTTATCATTTTGGATTTTAAGATGTTGAAGAGATTGTAGGTGAGTTTCCCTAGAATTTAAACAGGTTGATTGATAAATGCCGTTATGCAATGTATAATGTTTTCTTCTGAAAAATAAAAGTAATATACATATAGTATATAATTCAAAATCTAGTTTATTCATACCTATATGGATCTGTTGAATATAAGATTGTACGATTTTCATATCGTTCTTGAAAATTTTGTTGTGTAAAAAACGATTGCCGCTTGATCCAAAATGAAGATGTAAAATTATCAAACGGAGTATTCGATATCGCTTGATTATCATTATGATTGTCAGTAGTAATATTGTCATATTGAACATCAAGTATACGTAAATTTGGCATATGAGATAATATCAATTGTTCCCATCTATTAGCATTTGTATACATTTCATTGTAAATAAAACGGTTAGAAATATGTAAAACTTGTACTTGATTAAAAATATCTATCATCATTTGTTCAAATGCATTGAAGTTTATTAAGTCTAGATTAAGTGAAATATGCGTCAGATGAGGCAATACGAGTACAGATGTTTTTATATCATTCCTCCACGAACTGGATATATCAGAAACATATAAACGACGAAGCTGAGGAACATGCAATAATAGGCTGTAAAGTTCATTGGTGGATATGTGATCCTTGATGATTAAGTGTTCGACGGGACTGTATTTATCGATTGTCAACAATGATGAGTTCTCACAGAATGATATATTCAATGATAAGCTACAATATTTCAATGCAGGCAGACGAATTATCTGAGAATAGATAGGAGTCCGATTTCGAATAATGTCTACTGATGTGATAGATAATGAAGAGAGGCATGATAAAGAAACTAATGTAGAAAGGATATATTCAAGATGCTTTGATTTTATATTATTAAGACTAAGTGTTTTAAGATGAAGACACTGGGATAGATTATGAACTGGTGAAGAAATATCATCATATAAACATATATTTGATAAATGAAATGAATTAATTCGATGTTTATTCGGTAGAATAATATCTTTATTGTATCGTTGAAATGTCGATTTTGATATAGAAGAAAGATTAACGTCAATTGGAACAGTTGAATTAACTATAAGATTATGAAATCGTACATTAAGTGAACAAAAAGCTTAATAGACATCATGAAAATCTAATACTTTAAATATTTCATAGATCAATTCATTAGGAAGAATTTCAAAACATGTGACAAATTCTTTTAATGAACTAAAACAAAAAGAAAAACATCCATTTTAACGAATATTTTTTGTTGACTCACCAATTTGTTTCAACTGAAAAACAATAGAAATTATAAAAAAGAACCATATGTATATTTTACCTTGTATCTTTTGTTTTTTATTATTATCATAATTATTCACACTATTATTTCGTCGACGTTTAATTTGTTTCATATAGTTATTCTCAATGTTGTAAATCGATAATAAAATGTTGTTTATGCAAAAATATAAAAGAATGTAATGTTTGTAATGGTCCAATAGTTACTAATAAAGAGCACAGCAAAAAAGGAGAAATATGCATATTCAATGAGTCATCTTTGTAGAGAAGTAAAGAGAAAAATAAATGGGATTTGCTTTTTGAAGATGAGTCATTCATATCAGTGAAAATATTGAAAATTTCCAACATGTAAAAATAATACATAAACGACCTTGAAAGTGTGCGTGCAAACCTAGGCGTAGAGACTAAAGAAAAGTCTCACCCACTCGCATTCTCGCTCAGACTCAAACTAATATATTATTCAACAATATCTATTGGTATTAACAATCGACATAATTGTTGACTAGCTACATGTTATTTTGATTTTTATATTAAACTTTGGTGGTCGTTAAGAGAAAATCGAATTCTTTTAAATAATATTTTTCTCGATTATTAAAATGCAAAGTAACTATGACGACGATTTAAGCGGTCAGTGTAATCAACCACACTACATCTCTCTCTCTGGACAAGGTCACCAATTGTATATAATAACCTTTCCTTTCTTTGTTCTTTCTATATCTTGACCTTCTTCTGTTTTGAAAATAAAAGAGAAGCAAGAAGCACGAAATATAAATAAACGGTTTACAATATTCATTTTTGAAATAAAATATTTCTGAAAGAGATTTAACTTTCTTCATTATTATTCTGGAAAAGATTAACAAACTAAACAAATTCGATGTCTGATTCAGAGAATGAAACCATTATTAGACAATCTACGCGTCCACAAACAAGATCGAAAGGAATATTGCCTTTAATTATCAATGTCATTCTTGGCCTATTAATTATCATTGGTATTACAGTAATTTTTATTGACATTAAAAAGGTCGACACAATAATTGATAAAACTACCACTGATGCATCGACAATAAAAGCAACAATTCTTACAACGTCAACTAATTCTCATACAACAACAATGAATGAACTAGAATTCAACAATTGGAAACAAAATACCATTACTGTAGCTGGTGGAAATAAACAAGGACAAAGTTTAAATCAACTCAATCATCCTCAGGGAATGTTTATTAATACACCGAAAAATATTTTCATTGCTGATTTTTATAACCATCGTATTGTTGAATGGAAATGGCATGCAAAGGAAGGACAAATCATTGCAGGTGGAAATGGGCAAGGAAATCGAACAAATCAATTGAAATATCCAATAGATGTTATTTTTGATCAACAAAATTATTCGATCATCATTGCTGATTGGGGAAACCGACGAGTGATTCGATGGTTGAATCAAACTCAACAAATTCTCATTAAGAATATTGACTGTTGGGGCTTGGCAATAGATAAATATGGATTTCTTTATGCTACAGATTGGAAGAAGCATGAAGTAAGACGATGGAAAATGGGTCAGTTCAATGAAGGAATTATAGTAGCAGGTGGAAATGGTGAAGGAGATGAACTCAATCAACTCAATGGTCCTACTTTTATCTTTGTTGATGAAAAACAATCTGTTTATGTATCAGATGGACGCAATCATCGTGTAATGAAATGGAGAAAAGATGCAAAAGAAGGAAGAATTGTGGCTGGAGGAAATGGTGAAGGAGAAAATCTCAATCAATTATCTTCACCTCAAGGAGTAGTTGTTGATCGTTTGGGTGAAATCTATGTGGTGGATTGTTGGAATGATCGTGTAATGCGTTGGTGTGAAGGGAAAGAAGAAGGTGAAATTATTGTTGCTGGACATGGTGAAGGAAATCAATCAAATCAATTGAATCATCCTCATGGCTTATGTTCTGATCATGAAGGAATGCTTTATGTTGCTGATTATTTGAACCATCGAATTAAAAAAATTCGAGATAATTTTGTAAAACCTCGAATACTGCTCTAAACTTTAAAAAAAATTTTTTTTCTTTCTTCTGTCTATTCTTGAGAATCGGAAGTCACATCATTGTCTGTTAATAAATTTTTGTATTCTACTCGTGTTACATTATTTTTCCTTTTTTTCTCTTGATTTTCTTCAGACTTCATGTTTCTTTATCATTTTCTGTTTCATTTGTTTGCTATCTTTAAAAAGGATATTTCAATTTCTTATGCGTTTAGATACACGCCTGTCTAGGAGAGGGGTGGTGTAACCAATCACACTACATCTCTCTCTGGACAAGGTCACCAATTGTATATAACAACGTTTCCTTTCTTTGTTCTTTCTATATCTTGACCTTCTTCTGATTTGAAAATAAAATAGAAGCACGAAACATAAATAAACGGTTACAGTCAATACTAGCTGAATTCCATGAATTCTCTATAGACATATAGCAAACATATATTTCAATTGTCACTTTTCAGAACTAGTGATATGCTCTGACACATCTGTTCAATAATTTCATTAAAATTGGATTTTTGTATGACATTCTGATCAATAAAAATGTCACCATTGTTTAATATCTGTAGTATTCAATAAATGCCAGAATTGATAAATCGCCAAACAAATGAAGAACAATATTTGATCACCATAACTATCGCGCGTGAATCAAAGTTTGTCACTTATCATTTATAGTAAGTAAATGCCACATATGAAGGATCAAGAGGTGATGACGGACTATGTCGCTGTGATCGTTCCAAAACGTCACGTAGAGCGATCAAAAGTATGCTATGGTCTTACAGTTAGAGACGTCTTCAATCTTGCTGCGCATCTCATCCTTCCCTTTTCGCTCGGCATATTCACAATCGGCGTAACATTCTATCAACAAAAAACCGCCGAACAACAACGCTTGGAAGATCGCATTATTGCTCGAGTACAACGAGAGCAAGACTTAAATATATCTGCTGTCCAACGTGAGCAGGACAAATCGATTGCTCAGCAACAGCGTGAGGAAGACGAATTACGAAGATATCAAGATCTAAATATATCTGCACTTCAACGTGAGCTCGACTTACAAATAGCCGAGACGAAGAGAAAAGCAGATGATCTCAATGCCGAAAAACAGCGAAATATGTCACAAGAACAACGACAACATGAGCTTGAAGTCGAACGAACCAAATATCTTGATACGCTTCTTTTATCTTACTTCAACGAGATTGGTGTGCTGTTAGAAAAAGGAAATGGTTCGCTGACACTTATATCTACGATTACTGCTCTAGCGCGAGCGAAAACGCTAAACGTCATCAATCAAATCGATCCATTTCGTTCTGTCGCACTTATCCAGTTTCTACAAAATACCGGTCAAATCACAGTGGGTGAAAACCCACTCATTTTGCCGGGAGCAGCTTTGAATGGAATCAGTCTGAGCAAATCATTACACATATCTAATCTAAAAAAGGTCTCACTGGTCCAGACATATCTCATGAATGCTTCTTTTGTCAATCAAGATATTTCGAATTGGGATTTTACTAACGCCATTCTTACTGGAGCTAATTTTAGAGGATCGAATTGCACAGGTACAATCTTTCATGGAGCAAATCTCGTTGAAGCTGATTTTTCTTACGCTCATCTCGATGATGCGATTTTTGACCACGCAGATTTGACTGCATCCACTTTTACTGCAGCATCTGGCATCAAAACAGTGCGATATGCTAAATTTCAAAATGTTAACTTTATTGATGATAATTTCATGTCGGGCACAGAAACGAGTTTCGTTCGATTTATCGACTGCAACTTTGTCGACAGTATATTTCGCCGTACCGTACTGGAATATATCGACTTCGTATATTGCAATCTGACCAATGCTCGTTTTGATGTTATTCAGTTGAACCGTGTATCCTTCCAAGGTAGTATCCTCGCTTATGCGTATCTTGTAAACATTTCTTTGATGCATGTAACCTTGAATTTTGCAAATTTCTCCTATGCGAATCTCTCAGGTGTTAAGTACTGTATTAGTATGACATGTCAAAATCCATTTACCACCTATTTTTACCTTTGGAATGCAATTCTACCAGATAATACACGAGGTCCTCCGGAAAAAAACGTTCTTCCTAATGGACAGGCTGAGAAATGCAGCACATCGAATGGAACAGGTATTTGGAAAATTCATGGCGATCTAATCATTAATCGAGCTCATTATTTTCATAGACAAAAATGTGCTTTCGGTCCAGCTCACTATTCGCGTACGGAAACTATGAGTCAGTTGATACAATTAGCACCGTTTCAATATGGTAGCACAACATATTTGGTAATGGATGGTCGTGCACGTCTCGTGATACGAAGTTCAGCGGGTTGGCAGACCGGGATTTATGTGGATGAATACTTAAAAGACGGCCTTCTGCGCAGACATATACAACAATCTCCGAATGAAACTATCATGCTAGGCATGCAATATCCGCAATATAAAATGATTGAATCGAGTGTCCTGCTACAGGAAGAAACTGAATATCTCAACGTAACAGTAGTTTTTACTGCTAACAGCAACGAAAAGTATATGTGGATGGAGTTTATTCAAATGCAGTTATTGCCCGTTATATATGCCCCATAAAAGTAAATTATACTGAATGGAAAAAACCTGCAAATCCATTGAATTATCTCACCTATTCACGCTAAAAGAACAACATGTTGAAGAGAATGAGCATGTGACAGTCAAGGTCATGAGCTGCGCGTGACGAGCTCGACGACGAACTAATCAACCAAATTGAGTTGAGCACATGTAATGGAAAAACAGTAGACGCTTAACACTGTTGAAACTGTTTTTATCAAACATGATCACATCTCATTCGACACTAACCTATAATAAGAATAAGATGCGCTTACTAGTAAAACAGCGTCTCATGCATTCGCGTTTATTCCTAAGCATTCAACGGATTCCCGATGAGTTACTGCTGAAACGATAGAAATCCTCGAAATAAACAAATTTTCATCGAATGCATAAGATGAAAG